TGTCTGTGAATAAATTGAGGTGAAAACTTTGCGTTCACACTAGATAACTAGATAACTTCCTAGAGCAGTTAACAGAACACAGTTAATTATGTAGTCTATCCAGATCACACAGCATACCTTCTGTCACTGCAATTTCTGTTACAATCACTAAATAGATTATTCCATATTTGGTTGCTAATCACTTGTGTCACCATCCTTGCATCTTATTGCAATTATGGGTAGTGCCAGGACATTTTTCCTTGTCACAGCAGGTCTATTGATTGATGTTAACAGATTCACATGTCAAAGTTCACCACAGTTGCAGATTATTGGCAGTACAGACATTGCCAACCCGCTGGCAACACTACTAACGCGTCAAAAAAACAAAAAAAAAAAAAAACAGTCATCTGTTCAATCACTGCCTGCAAATTACGTTAACAACACTAAAACTTGAAACAACAGTCAAAGGGAAGTCAGGTTTGAGCTTGCCTGTGGAAATGGGTTCCAGGTCTATTAGTGTTAGCTAGTGACAGGTGCAGTCACTTGGTGTTGGTGGCTCACCTGGTGGAGCTGGCGCATGTATGCTACCAGGGGATAGGTTTGAGTGCGACCCTGTGGCCCTTTGCTGGTTGCCATCCACTCACTCCCTCTGTCTCTCTCACTGTGTCCTGTCCTGTCCATCTCTCAAGCTGCGCTGTCAAATAAAGGGGAGGGGGGAGGTAAAATCACTCAGAGATTTAAATGACTGTATTCTTGAGGAAGGCACTGCAGTTGTATTTATTTGTGGTCATAAAAATCTTTCTCCACCAAGGGCAGTAATTTTGTAAAGTTAGAAAAACATGTGCCCAATTTTTAAGACAGTATTTTAGAAAATGGTTCAAACAGCTGTACGATAAAGCTTCTTTTTTCCACCCTAAATAAGCTTTCTGTATATCTCCTGACGAGCATGGACGCCTGGCCAGGCCTTGTGCTTGAATGTTATTTAACAAGAACTGTTAGCTAAGTCTGGCTAATTGTAGTTTGGCCATTGACAGCATATATAATTTATATAGTTTAACCAAAAGCTGAATTTTGTTTTATTGTAGCTTAAGTCAAACCGAAGGCGTGGTTTGTCTCAAGCAAAACAGACAAAAGCAAAATACACCATGACTCACCAACTGAGGAGCTAGCAGTGTTAATTGGGTTGTGTCGGTGCAACGTCTTTCCAGAGTCAAAGAGCTCGTGAAACTCCAGGGCCCCGCTCGTGACAAATTAAGTTAACTGAAACACCGTTATTTGAGGATAAAGTTAACTATTTTCTAACTGTTTTCTGCTTTTGGTTTCGATAATTTCATATAGGCTACAGTCACTTTCATATTCTCCGGTTACTGACAGCCTGGCAGTCACCAGGTGTTTCTCATTAGCAGGCCGGTGACGCTCCTCAGGTGCTTTAAGAAAGCTGCGTTCAAGGCACCGTTCATTAAGTCGCAAGTTTGATTTACTGACCACAATATTTTCTACGTTTATAAAACAATGTCAATATCATGTTGTGGTGAGTGTTATGGATATATATAAGTATTATAGCGCAACTTTACGACAGCCCATTTTGAGAGCTATCGGCCAATTGGCGTTTAATAAAATGTGTTATCAGACAAATTGTTGAAAATACAGGCGGAATTCTCCTCAATTCAAGAATTAACGTAGATATCAGACCTGTTCAATGTAACTAAAATAAAACCCACTTCAATATTACTTAAAATCAAAAATAGGCCATAATTTGGTTGTCAACTTGTTTAGAAGCTCTGTGCTCAGTGTTGTCACCTATGGCAAGAAACCTTTTCGCAAAGGATAATGAGGTACTATAAGGCATGATTGACAGCATCCATCTTTTCAGTTTCAACAAGCCATAAGTAGCATAATACTCAAAATTTAAATTTCTGTTATTATAATAGCACTGGCTGCAAACATCTTTTTTTAAGGACTGGTGTTATAACTACTCTGTCAGCCAAATATTGTTGCATATACAGTACCTGCCCTGCCAGTATACACTGTAATCTGTTTTGCCATTTCTGGAAAGAATTTACACGGAATAACAGATGCATGGCTTATTCAAATGCATCACATTTACATAGCTTTTATGTCTGCCCCTTAACGTCACATCTCATCAGTGTTTATAGAAACCCCATTGTTGCTTTATGTGAGCTACACTCATTTATGACTTTTCTGACAGCATTTAAAGGTACACAAATGCAGGTATAGCATGATGCAATGCAATTGTTCCTATAATTTGAATAGGACATTTTGGAAAGACTGCATTTTGATTATATGAACTTAAAAGAACACAATGGATAGCTGTTTTTACTGTGCAAGAAAATCAGCCGTGTGAGTTGATTCTGAAACACATGCTGATTTAAAATAGGAAAAAGGAGTATGGGGAGAGGAGATGGTGCAGAGCGAGGGCATGGGAGAATTTAGCGAGAAGGGAAAGACTGAGGTAAGTTGACGGAGTGAGAAATCATATGAGGATGAAGGACGTGAGTGAGCTTGAGGGACAGTTTGCGAGAGAGAGAGACAGGGGCAGAAACAGAGTGCAAAGGGAGAAGAAACGAGAAAACAGAAGTCTGACTCTGACAGTAGAGCACTGAGTTCAGCTGATGGCCCCTAATGAAGTAAGGCAGCTGCAGAGGAGGAGCCCACACTGACAGGCCGAGACTCACTCTGACGGATGGTGGAGAAGACACACACGCGCGCACGCACACACACACACGTACACATACACAGACCAGAAAACAGCTAAGATTTAAACATACTGAACCTATGATAGACGTGGCATGCAGTGAGGAGCCGAGTACTGAATGGCAGAACATTGTCAGGATTCTCTGAATACATTGCATGATGTGCATATTCCCCTTTTCTTCCTTCAACGAACATTGGAAGAATTATTTTCTGGTCTGGGACTGACATTAGAGAAAATCACTATCCCTTCTTAATTGTATTTGTGAGTTTGTCTTCCTTCAACTGACAACAAATAGTCTACTTGATGCAGGTGAGTGGGAGTAAAAATCCATTCTCTACCAGTTTTTTCCAAGTCAATTATGAGGGTGGTATTTTGGTACAAGCATGAAAGTCCATTTTGTTTCCATATATTCATGTCTTTGTGCATATTTCGAGGATGGCTGAAGAGTCAATAAAATCTTGAAATACCTGTGGCGAGTCACCTTCATTGTTACTGTTGAATGATGATGTTGAGGGACAATGTTAGAAAATAAAAATGTTGTAACAAATGTCATGCAAAAAATGTGCTTATGGGGCAGTCTGTTTTTGTTAACCAATGTTGAATGAAGGACACACTCCCCACCTGCATTACATGTTAACAATGGAAAGACTATACTACTTTTGTGCACACAAAATTCTATAATAAAGGCCTACAGAGATACAGAGACACATTAAATCAATAGATATTTGCAGCAAGGGCTTGACAATGAAATGAAGTTAAAGATCACATAGTTGTGAATGTCTATAGATCAAGTTGCAGCTTTTATGTTGATTAAAAAAAGCCCTCTACTTCCCTCTTGAGGATGGAAGCAGTATTTGGAACCCTATTTATTTTATGTTCTGAAGTATCAATATAAGAGAAAAAACATTTACATAATACTTTTTTCAAAGTCAAAACATTTAATTCATCGGCCATCTGACTGGCTGCACAGTTACTCTCTGGAAGGAACTCATAAATGTGTCAGCATGGTCCAATCATATAATAACCTTCCATCTCTGGATATTAACAAAAGCATGTTGAATCATTCAAGTCTCATACAAGTAATTTAGATGTTTTTTGTAATGAAAGTAGATCTGGATTTGACCCATTGTGATAAACTTTTAATAAATATACTAGTACATACAGTATTTCAGAGACTGGCATTTTCTCTTAAAAATATGTATATTTAGTTTTTTGTATGAAATTCTTCCATGCTTTCAGGCCACATTCAGATCCAGTGGCAGATTCATTGATAAAGTCTTTTCTCTGCCCGTTAATTACAGAGCCAGAAGTTATCATTTTATCAGACAGACCTTTCTTTTCGAGTGTTTAATCAGGTAATTGCCTTTGAGATTTTCCCATATGGTGACATAATTTCTCATCTGTTCTCACCTGAAGAACCAGAGGGCAGAAATGACTTTCTGTTGATGGGTGGGGGAAAAAGTTTGCAAAAGTTTTTGCAAATTTCTAAGTCGAAGTGTCCATGTAACATACAGTCTATTTTATATGTGCTGGACACAACTTTACATTAAAGTCAGAAATATACAATATTGCTCACTGGCTGAGAAGCCAAGTCATTAGGTGTAACAGACAACGTGCAAAACTGTGAGATCCTATAAGAAGAGAAGGGGGTTCATCTAGTGAATGTAAACAATCCTGAGCATAATAACTAGATTTGGCATCCAAAGGTTCCAGGAAACGACTGAATGTAATGATACCAGTTCATGTACTTTATATATACAAGTTAATGTGGGTTATGAATAATTCATTATGAAGAAAAGTGTAAATATTTACAGAATAAGCAAAACAAATAAAAAGGCAAGTTCAAATTAGCATAACAGAGCAAAACTTACCAAACTTACCAAAATACATGACAGCTGAGAACATTTAAGGATTTTATCAAAGCCAGAGGTGACACAAGTGTTTTGACTGTTTTCCTCACATGTATGTGTAGCATAAGAACAGCAAGATTTACAGCCTGGGGATCAGTTGGGTAGACTATACTTGGATATCAGAAGGTGCATTAATGATACATGACAGCAGGTGGCAGCAAACAACTATATTTCTTAGTATTTGGTGAACAAAATAATCTAAGTTTTGTTTCAGTAAGACCTTTGTATTTAGTAGAGTAGTAAAGTTATCATCAGGACTGTATCTCAGAATAATTTCAAAATCAAGATGTTTATCATCACCACCAGGTTACCTCTTACTAATAATAAAGATTCAAGATCAGTATTGCTTTATTCCAGACTCCGTGCTCTTGATAGAACATAGCTTGACAAACAGATATGGTTAAATAAAATAGTTTATTTAACAATTGTTAATCAATAAAAATAAAATTAAACATTACAAAAATTCTTTAAAATCAAAGAATTGTACAAATCATGGCTCCAATTATCCTTGTCATGACATAGAAAAATACAAAAGGCACTGTGCATTAGAGTCTGCTGCTTATATAAAACATTTTGAACCAAAAAAAATAGTCCACTACTCAAATTTGCAAGTTATTAGAAATAACCCCCCTCAAAAGAGCAAGCCCTGTCTAACTCTAGATGTCCCATCAGTGCAGACTCGGTGCTAATAGGAGCTATGTTTTCAGAAACAGATCAGAAAACTGAGTAACTGATTCAGCTAAAGACAGAATTTAAGTTTATAACTGTAAGGAGTGTGAAAAGAAAAATAATCAACCAGTATACAGTGCAAAGACATATAAAACAGTAAATATGTAAAGGATGATGGGATGTGTGCAGGTGAGGAGATAAGAACGTTCTTTGACTTTATGTGCAACATACCTTTCAACAAATAAGCTTAACAGATTTACCCATTCATTACCTTGAAGACCCTGGAGACCCACACTGGTGGTCAGAGATATTTTGGTATATTAAACTTCCTCTGGCTGAAATTTTTACAAAAAGCACAAAAAACAAAAGAAATAACTACCCATGTTTATTTGCAGAGGTCAATAAACTACATGTACCACCAAGAATCTGAAGTTGTGAAGAGATCTCATCAACCAAAAACCAACGTGGGTGTCCCGGAGCTCCATATACACACGGATCCTTGGGATCCATTTTTAGGTCGTGCCTAAAGAGTGCCCTATAGGTTGAATGACTTCGAAATCTACAGAAAACCCATATTCTGAATATTACTAGAACCTTTAAAACCCACTAAAAAGGTATATAATGTCAAGAACAGACAGAATTGGGGCAGACACCTCGTAACACTGAAATGGGAGTAGTAAAACAAACAGATAAAAGCATTCCATGGAGTGAGAAAGTACAACTGCGAGACTTTGGTTGTCTCCTTTTGCAAAAATAATCTCTTGCGTGGTAAAGTGGCTTTTTTGTGAAACATTCTTTACTAACACAACCATTTGCTTTTTAGCTCCAAAAGTCCAAACATGATCGACAGCAAATGCATGTTTCTTTCTCTGTACCTGCTCTCTACTGTGCAAATAATCCACTATCCATTCAAAGCTTTTAGTAGTTCATACCAAAACAGCAAGATAGCTATTAGGACAGCTATTAACTGCCTTTTTTTTTTTTACAATCTCTTTGGCATCCAGTTTCATGTCCAACTTTTGGTTATGACAAGTATATCAATTCACATCCCAGTTAGAAGGAGTCAAACTGTGTAGCAGTCGTAGTGCATAAGAATTACTTTTGGCATCCAATCACTGGATCATACAAGGTTCATTGATGCTTTTTCATAGGAAACCATGCTCATCAAGTCCCTTTGGAGTAACTGGGTTCCACTTTGCAGTCGTCTTAGTTGTAGAATATCCTGGAAGACAAAAGTCAAGGATGGAATCAATGCACACATTTACAAAAAAGGTGAAAAATATAAACGTCACTCAAATATGAATAGCATTAATGATAGCATGTGGTACCTGATTCTGATCTGCTTTTGGAAGACTCCAGTGGCTGAACATCTGGCAAAGGGAGCCCCCTCCCTTCGACATCACTCTCCCCTGATGACGTATGGTCCTCTGCTTTCCTGTACAAGGCAGGCCTCTTATGGTATTTGGCCCGGTAAGTGTCTGTCATACAGTTATCCACAGAAAAGTATGTGGTGGGAAAAACCATATCTGTCAAGCCAGGGGAGTCTGTACCGTCATCGTGTCCGGGCTTTGGACTGGGTAACCTCTCGTCGCTCTCGCTGGCTGACAGATCGTTCCTATCCTGGTCCGATGACCCCGACTTGGAGCTGGCATCAGATGAAAGCCTGTGCTCGGCAGGTGTCTCAATCCACCGACGAAGGGTGGTGTGCGAGAGGGGGGACAGGTCATTTTTGGGTTCATTGCGGGGGCTCGACCGCTTTGGCATCTCCGGCGGTTGTGAGTGGACGCCAGATGGGTCAGCGTGACTGGTGCCAAAGGTCTTGGGGGGTAAAGGTGGGGGATAGTTGTGCGAGAAAGGGTCATTGTGGGCAACGGTGCCAGTCTCTTCTTGTTCAGAGAAAGGTCCGGCAAGGTCGTCTGAGCTGTTCCACTCAGAGCTGCTGGTCTTTGCTAAGTAAGGAGGCACAGGGCTCACGGGGCTGCCATCCACATTTTCCTCTTGTTCGCTGTCCAGACCATTGTTCTTTTCCAAGATCCCAGGAGTGTACCGGAAGGCTCTCCTTCTGTTATAAAACAAAAACACAAACATCAGTATTTTATTTGCCCTTGTGCCAAAACAACTGACTACTTACAAACTGTTCTTTTAAAGATCTGTTTTTTACCTTTGTATTGGCTGACCGGAGAGGATGTTTGTGTCTTCTAGATCTGGAGATTTTCTTCCTTGTTCATCTAGACAATAATGAAACCACATGAGCATTTCATATCACAACATACTAATTTATAAACTTATGGTCATCACTAGCAGATGGTCAAAAAATAGAGCTAGGTAACATCTGTCAAGTGTTTCTATTTGAACATGGCTACAATATTTTTTTTTTCATGTGTCTCTCCAGCAAAGACGTGTTATCTAACAGGGGTCATGGTGAGGCCCCCTTTTGCCTGGTGCTCAGAGAGGAAGTATCAAAGCAGCTAGTCTGGCAGAGCGCCCTCAGGCCCCCTGTGTACCACTCTGACTGTCTGATCCAGCCAAAGAACATGGCCCCTTAAAGGGAATTTGGGTTCAAATCCAGGCCCTGTTAGCTTTCAGCTAACGGTAATAATGAAACAATAAAGACCCTGAATGAACTCTGGGAGATTTAGAAGTTGGAACATACGAAAGCAAATTCTATGAACTTATTTAGGTCAATTAGGTCATAATGTGATGTCAGTGAATTATGCAGCAATAATTATGAGATAATAATAAGTAAAAAGACATGTTTAAAAACAGGTCCCTAGGTGGGGGCTGGTGTGGAGCTAAGCCAAGTTAGCAGGGTGGGTGTGATTTACAAGGCCTGGGACAGACAACAGCTGACCAACAGAACAAGAAACAGAGTGAGTGGCTGAGGACCATCTGTGATGTGTCAGCATACCCTCTTTTTTTTTTTTTTTTTTTTGCTCTCTCAAAGCATTAGTGGCTAAATCCTTTGTGCTGGCATGCAATTACGTCGGGGTCAGTCTCCAGACTCCAGATCCCCTCCACAACACTATTGCATTTTTAAGCCGCTAAGTCCATGTGGCAATTCACAATTTGATGACGCTGATCGGCAATGTTGGCAAGCAAATGTAACAATATCATTCTCACAAACAAAACAAAAAAGGGATGCAGTTTACAATGCTTTCTCCTGAGAAAATCCCTTCATCTTTATGATCACATGCTCTGTCGAGAGAAAGCTTGAAGGAGAAAGCAGCTGGATAACAAGACGGCAAGACGTCTGTGCACGACTATTTGCTACTGTTGAAATCAGCCATCAAATAATCACCATGATTCCATCCGAATTTGATATAAATCTATCCTTCAGGTTGGGGTCTGGCTGATTTCCAGAAAACATTCATTTCAGTGGAATTTTGGGATCACTGCTGTAGCTGCGAACGCCAGCAAAACAGATGTACTCAAGGTGTCCTGCTGTTTACATGGCCTACTGCACTTGCCTGGGAAACCGTCCATGTACTGTGATTGCATGGATTAGGCTGTGGTTCAGTGGCCTTTAATATACTATCTAAACTGCACCAAGTGGTGTGTAATAAAGTTTCCCTGACAATCCCATGTTAACTGGAAAGCATGAATACAAGTTGTTTAATATGATTAAAGGATGTAAAGTCGTCTCATTAGCGTACATGTTTTTTTGCACTTGCTAAATGTGTGAACAGCCATGTTGCGTAAGCCACTATATTCATCTTTTAAAAACAATAAAGATACTCTATTCATGTAAATCACTTGCAGACCTGTCTCTTATCCCATTCCAGTACAAAGGATCACTCTGAGAAATGTTCAAGAGAGGCATCTGTTTGGGGCAGTGGAGGGGAACAGAGGTGATATGACATAATTTCAATTATTCCAACTATGAGTGTGAAACTCCCAGAGGAAATACAAAATGTGCCTCTATACAGACCATGAAAGTAAATTCTAACTAGGTTTTGAGAAATTGTACATGCAAAAATTCCTGACAGCCCTTTGAAGTTTTGTTGATGCGACAAAAACAAAAAAACTCTACACATTTCAGTTCTAAGGCTGCCAAGTGAAGATTTGTAGTTCTCTGCGTTCTGCTGTCCCGGGTACTTAAAATTCTTGAACATCAATCAGACTTGCATGCATTGCGTGGGTAGGAAAAATGAACCCTGGAAAAATGTCAAGTTCTCAACTATTTGATCTGTCCACACTCAAAAACGTTTGTGTTGATATGGCACAATATGAACATGTACTCCTGCCATGCCATTAACACATGCAAACACCCAACACAATGGATAACAAATCTATGTAATTGGATCAAATTCAACATGACTTCTTTTTCTGAACTTTACATCACAAAGGAACACAATATTTATCTCATACAAATTACAATTTGGGGTTTTAAATATATACACAATGGCAAAGTACAGTCCTTCTGTTTATGTAATCATAATTTGAAGGTGATGTGGTGACAGCCTCTCAAGAGTGTTTTTATGGCTCTTGACGTCTGCAGGAGCCACAGGAGCCAATCAGGAGAAATTGAGAAAGCCGTGATTTACTGTCAAGGTAGCAGGTTGAAGTGCACCCATCTTCCTGACAACCGTGACCTTTCACGCCGTTATAGACGGGATGTTCTGCTACCATTTTGGTATAATGCAGCTCAGTGAGATTTATTCACAACAAGGACAAAAGGTTGTCATTAAGGTGACTAAGAAGGGGCTCAACCTAGACGTCCCTTCTTTGATGCAACAAACGGTTGTAGAACAAATCCTGTGGTCAAAAGGGCAACTGAACTCCTCACAACAGCCCGCCCACATCTGTGTGCTTTTAGAAAGGATTTTGGACTTTAATGGAGTACTGGAATCTGCTCAGCCTTCTTTTCAAACTGCAGTTCAAGCCAGACTACCACCGCTGAACTCAGGCCAAATTGACTCTGGACACATTTACTGCAGCTTGTCAATACAATTTCCAGACGCCAGGACGTAAATATCCTGTGCTGATTTTAAAATAGCTACTGAAGAGTAAACTCAAAGGCTTTATCAGAGATTTTTAGCCAGGTTTAGGATTAACAATTAATTATTCAGCATTTCAACACTAACTCATTCTTTTCAAATACAAAAATAAGTCATATCTCTTTAAAGGCACTAGGGGGCAAACAGCCTGAGAGAGTAAATAAAAGCAATAATGAGTGCATTTCACATTTAAAGAAAGTAACATTCTATACACCTTTGTACAATATGTATGTAGTTTATGGCATCAATTATAAACACATATTTTATCAAAATGCGCTTTAATAATAATAACTTAAGAGAAAATCCTTTAGAAAAATTTAAAAATATACATCAAAAAGGGATACTGCAACAGTGAATTATTAACAATGGGTGCCAAAGATGTGTTTGCCAGGGATTCCTTCGCATGAATCACTCTACATGTGTAGATGCTCACTAAACACCAGCATTCAACACTAAGCATTTTCTGATTCCGTTTCCCCAACTCACTGCACTTGTGTAAAAGCTATTTTTAACTCGGAATGAAACTAAAGATAGATACAACTGTAGCTGCTGTTTCTATGCTGTATTTCATAACTCTTTGAGACCTTGAAATAACTGCAGTGCTACAAAAATGGCATTTTCGTTCATGTTTGAATACCACCTTCTGACAGGCCCAGTCATGGCATTTTCTGCCCGGCTGGGCACAGCTGGGTGGCCCCTACAAGCTCACTCATCTCCCCCTCTTATTCAGGATTAACTCAGTGTGTTCCTGCTGAGGGAATTGGTCAGGCATGTTTCAAGATATTTGTTAATTTAGAAGATATTCTGTCTGTGAGGATACTGTGGATCACAAGCAAGCACGTGCTAGATAAAGAATGTGAAGGGTGTCCAGGCGACAAACCCCCTAGAGCTATTCATGTCATCTAACCTCCCTCCATCCTGTCTGGAAGATAAAAATAACCATTATTGCATGACATGACTCATATTTGAGGCGCATCACTTTTTACTTTTACAGATTTACTTTTTCTTTCATGGTATGTGCGTTCAAACCGATCCCCCCACACCCCCACCCTCAGATTTGTATCTCTATGGATCTAAAGTTGATGACATTATTCACTGTGGTTAACAAAGCCCTTGACATTCTTCTTTTTATGTAATTATGAGGAAGGACAGAAGACCACATACAAACAAGGATTTTACTTAGCGCTGAACCAATTTGATTTTTTTTTTTTTAAGAAGCCAGCTCTCTACCAGTTTTTTACTTGAGTTGATGTTTCCTTTAAACCATGTACATTTCTCTGTGTGCTGCATAACATAAACTTTACTCAGGAAAAAAGGTCAAGGCCAGTCAGTGAGGAACCAGCGCACACTTATTTCCATACAGTATCCCTTCAATCAGGCTGTGACCTTAACACCACTGATGGAACAATAAATCAAGGAAATTGCTTAGTACTATCTTAATGTTTCAGATCCTTACAACACACGGAAGTCTATTGGGCAGAGGAATTTTTTTAATGTCAAGGCCTCCAAGCCTTTGTAAAAGACTTTAAAGACTCATTTCCACAATGTAACACAAGGAAAATCTATATTATTTCTGGATTTATATATGTAAATAACAACAGAAGTAATAATACATTTTACATTTTCATATTTTTGTTTAAATCAGTGTTTAAATATAACAACTGTTAACAACTGCATATTTAAAATGCTAGGTCTCTGATGGTGTATGTTCACATTTCACCCTGAATATACAGAATAAGCAGACATCGCTACAACAAAGTTACTGGTGTGCAGAAATAAGAAATGTGTGAGAAATTTACTTACCAGTGGAAATATGCAATATGTCAGCCTTCAAATCATCACTTCTTCTCTGAGGGAAGTGATCCCTAAAATACAAAATAAATTCAATTATTCATGCATTGTGGACTGCCACAAGATATTCCAGAGCTTGATCTTTTACCAGCCGCTAAAGAGGACAAGGATGGGTCCGTGCTGTGAGCAAAAAATGAGAAATAAACCTTCATGACCTCAGCCTAAATATATATTTTATCATGAATGATTCAGTGGTGTAATCTGATACCAACTCGTGCATGTATAGATCTTGTGAAAACAACTAGAGGTTATATATATATATATATATATATATATATATATTTTATATTATTTGATTATGGTGATCTGTTTTTTCCCCTTTGTCGTTATTGATGTTTACAAAGTGGTTTCCTTTTTTAAGTATTTACCTAATAAATAATAAATTATGAATTTTATACATTTCCAGTGCCTTCAGGCCATAACCCAGTCACAGAACATCTTAACTATATGTTAAAGAATGAATAATCAAAGGAGCACTTTACCAAAATACTGTCAAGACATAGACTTGAATAATGCACTCGTGGTTGAGGAAGTCAGCTATCTGTGGGATCTCCCATCTGAGTACAGGAGGTGTCAGCTAGTTGGGATCATTATCTCCAAACAAGACCTGTACTACAAAGCCAACAAATGACAGCCCAGCATAATAAGGCTGGTGCATCTGCCTTGTGTGCATTTATGTTAAATGGGTCTTGCTATTCTTAGAACAGTTTGTTTGTAATGTTTAATCATTTAAAAATGCCAGCACTTTCAAGACTCACATCCTTAAATGAGGAAGGCCTGCGATGACAAAGCAGCGTTCTGACGCTGGCATCACCCAGCAGAAAGTGTGTAATAGCTACATCTGCATCATACAGTTTTTTTTTAAGATTTTGTGTATTTGACTGATAAAAACGTAACTCTTAATGGTTCATTTTACCTTGTCAGATGCAGCTCAGGTATGGGCCGCAGGTCCTTTGAAGAAAGGCTCTCTACCACAGGTGAGTCAAGATTTGCTGAGCCATTGCTGAGTCTGTCACTACTTTCATAACCAGATTCAGTTCGCTGGATCTTCCAGTTGTCATTCCGCACTTTTAGAGTTGTTGAGCCCTTCGACCTGTCCTTGTCACTGTAGCCGCCCCGGCTATCTGAGTCCAGCGAGCTTCGGCTGCCGCCTGTTTCGTGCCGTTGCTCATCCTCATAGATGGTCATTAGGCTCTTAGGTTTGCGTTCTTCTCTGCCTCCCCACGTAAAATCTCTGTCTCGCTCTCGGTCACGGGTGGGCGACTGACTACTGGTTCTTCTCCGGGGGCTGTGCTGCCTTCGCTCTTGACTCACCAAATTACCACCACTACTGCCACTTAACACACTGTCCACATTTAGCGCCTCACGCATGGGCTTCCAGGGGCGGCTGGACCTGCTGCGGCTGTTCCCTCCACTTCCAGGACGCTCTCGGGAGTCTTGGCTGCTGTCGGTGTCATATCCGTTGGACAGTTGGTCTAATCTCCGGCTGTGTTGACCACTACTGTTAGTGGGAATGCTGGGCAACACTTGGACCCTCGTGTGAGAGCGGGGGGGCTCATGGGAGGACCGTCCACCAAGGTGTGGCATTCGCTCAGTCCGAATGGGACCTTTTCCTTGGCTGCTGTACAGTCGGGTTTCCAGGGGTAGTTTGAAGCCATTCTCTGGAGGGGAGACGGAGCGAGAGTAGGTCCTGTCCTGACCTGGATCTGAATTTAAACAAAGAAAAGTTCATGAGAGTGGGGTGAAAAACATTCTGAATAGATGCTTCACATAATAATTCAAGAATGTAACACTTAACAGTATATCGACGTAAACTTTTGTTACCTCCAAGCTGCTAAAGCTCCAATCAAATATTAATGCATCAAAGGGAGCAATTAAATGTATTTTGTTTAAAGAGTGTACTATAAAAAGAGGAATATCAGTTTTTGTGCTTTTCTGATGTTTGGCATCAGGTACTTCCAAAAGACAGTGTTGTGAATAATGTTGCCAAGACCAAAAATATATTTTCACTGACAGCAAGACACAAAGCTGCGCTAAAGCACAGTGCAGGATGGGCAGAAAGTGAGGGAGGAGCATGGTGACAACAGGGTTACGGACATTTCTGTCTGAAGATGACAGGAAGGTGTAAATTATGGCCGACATGAGTGAATCTTATTATGTGGTGTGTAGACAGAGGGTAGCCAGCTCACGTACAGACACTCATGCAGATACTGATGATAAAAAAGCCCTTTGGTGTTGGTTGTATTTGTGTGTGTATACGGAGACATGTGGGCGTTTTCCAAATGCACAAGTGACACTTCTGCACACAGTACTGATGTGTGTCTACTATTCCAAGGACACTTCCAGCCATAATATCCACTTTCAAAATAACACATAACATAACACACCTTAATACTCTAGATAAAATCCAAATTATAATGCTATTTAATTTTGCATGGAAAATACAGTGTTATAGAAACAGAACAGAACAGAACAGAAAAATGCTCATAAAGTAATTTTTCCTACATGAAAGCAAGACTTGTATTGTGGGAGTCCTCATTTGAAATGGAAGGTTCATCTATCCGATGCATTTTCATAAATTAAAACCCACAGTAGTGTATTGAGAGGCTGCATGCTTTCAATTGAATCAGATCTGTCGTAACGTCACGTTTGAGGGTACACAAAGTGAATTTAATACTACATATAACTGTCAGTAAATAAGCCCACAAGAGATAGATCCCCTATTGCTTTGGATTTTGCTGACTGTGTGCCAGAGTTAAATCACTTGAACATTGCTCTCTACATTTTTGCTCCTATATATATATATATATATATATATATATATATATATATATATATATATATATATATATATATATGATACCGGTGTGTTTTAAAGAGTTTCAGCTTCCGGCTTGTCATCAGTACACAAAGCTGTGGATCATTTAGGAAGTCTACATCACTACAGTCAGTGATCATTTAGAAAAACCCTGGGGTTATCCCATAGTCCAATATGAGGAGCAAAGTTGCTTAAGCTTTTCTAGAGTGTTTTTTTAGAAGACTTTTTAGCAAAGTGCTAGCCTGGGCATGAGCCGGCGGTAAATTTTTACTACTTACATTAACTGTAGTGTCACCTCCAGCCTAGACATTCATCATGGCAATGGCACTAGCCTCCTTTTAGCCTACTGCATTCAATCATAATAGGACGTGAGCTTGCTGCTAACACAGGCTACTGCTGTTGACATGGTGGATTTGGGAGCATGTTACAATTCTTCATAATCCCTTCACTGACACTTAATTGAAAGCAGTGATGTACTAAAAGAGTATTAAAGGAGAGGACCAATCAGCCAACTGATTAGAATCGGAACACACACTCAATTTGTGAGGTAAAAGGAGGAAGGGACATGAGCAAATAGTGGCAAGAATACGAATTTTAATTTAATTTAGTTAAATTCACTGTCTAATTAAATTATATTATCATTATTTAGTTGGATATGCTTAGAACCAGTGTGTGTTTGTTTGTAAATGATCATGCAGACCAGAGAGAAGGGAACCAATGGCTCTGTATATGAAAGAATGGGATGAGGGCAGGCTCCAACAGACGTCAGCACTTAATCCCCTTCCTGACACATTGCTCCCGAACTGGCGTTTACATAAGGGCTGGGGAAGTGAAAGGCTAGCCTTTTGTATCTTGCCACTTCTCATGCGTTTGTTTTATGTGTTGCATTGCATGTGCAGTCCACATCTATACATCCACATACTATCTGTGTGCGACCAACCTCTGTGGCGTGACTCCTGCCTCCGTTGAGCACTCCTATCGGGCTCTCTTCTGGATGGATGCATCCCACGCACCTCTGCTGCTTTCTGGGCAACTTCTCGAGAAATGTCCCTCCTCTTGGGATCACTGGTGCTAATTTTCACTACAAAACAAAAGAGATGTCAGGTATTACTGTATGTAATTACTGCTGATTTTTTAGTTGTTTTGTTGAACTTCTGCTAAAATCAGGTGGGGGTTTCCACCACTGCAGACACCATTAAAAGTATATTTATCTCAGAGTACATATAGTTATATCTATTGTCACTACATCCTTTTCCTTGTCACAGTTTTCCAAATCTTAGTCCCCAGCACCCCCAAGGCACTGAGCAGTTGCTGAGAGTGTAGACGGAGGAGAACTTTAGAGCACATCATTGTGCTGGTGTATATGGTACATTTTTACACGAGGGGAAAGGCAGCTGGGCGGAAACATGGCCACGCAGAAGCTTCGCTTCCCCGTCTGGCAGATATTCACCTTGAAACGCGATGATTAGTCATGGCACTGGAAAACATGATCATACTGGGGTTCTGTTAGCTGTTTCAAAAGGAATCACTGCGAAGAGAGCATGAAAATAAAAAATAAAATACCATGTGTTTTTGAGACTCTTTTTGGGACTCCATATTCTCTTCAGCACCAAAAAAAAACCCTGCATGTGTAACAGTGCACCACACGATGGATCAGAGTTGCAATCTTGACTGTGCTGCTTTTGGAAGCTCTGAGCAACTACTGGCATTTTACTGTATTGACTGCAACTTTCCCTGCCCACACCACAGCTTAAGCAACAAGCTTTCAAGCGAGGGGAAACAATGACACAGATCTCAGTGACCTTCACAACTTTATACAGCAATGTAACAACAACAACAGGACATTCCATATAAGGAGTATGGTCTTGACCTGCTCCATTTGAAAAGTACCCTGAGATAACTTTGGTAATGATTTGGTGCTATGCAATTAAAACTTAATTGAACTTAATATTTAAAAAGTTGTATTTTCACTAGTTCTGTGTGCTCCTACAACATTTTGTTTCATTTTCTTTCTAAAAAAGTCACTCCTTCTCAATTTACACTCTTCTTTCTACTTGGACTTAATTATGTGCAGAATTGGCAGCTCTTTGTGACCTCTCTCCTCAACAAGGATCCCTAATCCCTTCTGTATTACTAACATGGACAGATATAGTTTTACAGCAAAGACATTTAATTATCTCTTCCTCTGCTTGCTATACCAGATCAGCGCTCGTCACCACTCTCTGTGGACAAAAATATTTACAAATTAAGCAATCCTTTAAGGCTAAAAACTACAACCAAGTGTAATTCATCTCTCCTCCCCTCTTTTTCTCTCCTGATTACTGCAAACCACTATTTTCACAAGTACATACTGTGTTTAAACCATAGTTTTGCTTAGACTGATGCTTGTTTGCAATGTTGGAACAATTTTCTTTAAAACATTCCTGAATTTGCAATGGAAGCAAATAAAAACATCTTACAAAACTTTTTTTTTTCCACTCCTAAAACACTTGATTAAATGACTTGATAGAATGAAAACTTTTGCAGTGTGCTCCACCATATCTTGGGTTATGAATCTCTCTTTGCATTCTAAACATTTTACCAGACTTCTTCTCTTACCTTGTCCCCGTCCTCCACTGGTCTGACCGCTGCCCCTGCTGAAGGTTGATGTAGGCTTCTGTTTGAAAGAGCCTTGACCCAACAGAGCGTTCAGATTCTCCTTGGTGAGGTCCAGCTTCTTAGGAGCTAAAACTGGAGACTCAATGCCTGCAGAGGAGACAAAAGGGAAACATGACATTTCAAGCTGCTGTGTGAAGGATTATCTTTTTCCAACAAAAACTGTTTATATGATGAAACATAAATTTGACATCAATAAATGCCCAGACTGCACCTGAAACTAAGAAACAGAAATTCAATGACAAAATCTACACAATGTTCTCCTTGGTTTTTTGTAGGATCATCCAGTTTGGTCCGGCGCCCTGTCAGCTCTGATGGGCAGTGACGGCTGCCACAGCTTGGACCTGGGGCACGGCCAGCATGGAGAGTTGGAGGAGGATCTTTAAAGGGGATAAAAACCTCCCCCAACCAAACAAATCCAGGGATATATAATCCAAACAGCAGAGATGTTCAGCTGTTGTCATCAACAAATTTTCATTACTGTCTGCAAAGGCAACTAATATGATCTGGGATTTTACACATCCTATAAAGAGTCGTGTTTTGTTTGCTGATGTTTCTCAGAATTTGATATCCATTAAAAAGTGGTTTGTAAATAAAGGGAATTTTTATTTACAATTAATTAAATGTGTGCTAGAGGAGAACAAAACACCAGCATTCCAATAATATTACTTTACGTAAAATAGAAATAATAAAACATGTTTTTTCAAACTTTCATCTACATTTGTTGTTAGTCAAACACTTAACTCCAGCTTGGTGTACAGAGGCAAATCAGTCAAAAGAAGATAAATAAGTCACACTTTAATTCAAACTTCAGACTATAAATTTGCATGTCAATGTTGAAACACCAGAAACATTCAGCTAAACTCTGGCTCACAGTTGCTCTTATTCCCTCCACATCCTGCACTATTCATATGACCACAGAAACTAAAAGAGGCACGCCTCAGCTTCATATTAATAGGTATTTTCCGTATATGACATTATAATCAAAAAGGTCACTTAGGATGGGATTATGGTTAGTGAATGCTAAGAAAAATAAATAACAGCACTAATAACCAGAATAAATGCATCTCACAGGAACTGTATCCTGTCATTTCCATAAAATGACACAACATACACTGCAATTTAGTACAATATAACTATGTTGCCAACTGATCATCTACAGTGATTTTTTTTAAAAGATCATCATGATGACCTCTGAGCTATTCTTTGTTAGGGTCCTTATTCCAGTAAAAATCGGCACCGTCAAAATATTAAACACAAATACAGAACCAAGACAGATTTTTAAAAGATTTATATTTAATCTAACCCTACCTTGCACTTCTCCATTGACAGGGGTCTTATAGTGAGACTGGCTGCTGTTTTGTTTTGAGGTATCATCTGCGGTGATAGCACTCCCGTCGGGGTTGGAGTAAAAGAGGAGGAGAGGCTGGAAGTGACCTTTGATACATTTGCTGACCACATCTTTCCACCTGGAGCCGATCTACAGCACAAGACAAAGAAAAGCTGGTCAATGCATGTGTACACACAGACTTAACTACATTAGACAGAGGAATCCTGCACCTTTATGTGCGATAAAAAGAATTTAAAATTAAAATTTACAGCATTCTTTTGTGTGAAAATAATCCATCATATATATGTTTTCTTAGGGATCAATCAATTTGAAGAGATTGAAGAGGGGTTTAGAATGTTGGATTTTCTTAATGGGACCATGGTCCAATTCAATTTAGAAAAGCTGACAGATTGTGCACATAACAGGATAATTTGTTTTTCTTGTGACCCCATCTGTTCTCATTTTACAAAGAGGTATCAAAAAAGTTTTGTTGTACAACTGTGATCTGATATAAAGCATTTTAACTTATTACAAACTGAACAGTTTCCGCTAATACCCAGTTTTAGTGGCATCACCATAAGGTCACAACCTGAGTCAATCATAACCAAACAGTAAATAATCTGGCAACTTTAAAACCTTACCTTTACTGTGCATAGGATAATTTGTGAATTAATAAAACACACCGCGGCCAAATCACACAATCACATTAGCTAAGCTTTGTAAGGTGCGTGTCTCGCCACAAAGGCATCATGAAGGCAGGCTGCAGGCTAACAGATGCTTGTGTGCTCCTTAATTAAGCAAATGACGGTGGAAGAGGGGGGAGGAGAAGGTAGGGGGAGAGAGAGAGATAGAGAAAGATGAGGTAGAGAAGAACTAATTCACAGCAAAACAAAGGAGGCAACAGAAGGAATGTTGCAGACGTGGATATAAAATAAAAAAGTCTCAGTCTCTTACTCCTGGCATGCTGAAGGGAACCATGAAGTTGTCTTTGTCTATTTTATTGACTACTTAAATTAAATGTAGCCTCTGAGCAATGACATTACGTACCATTTAATACTGATGCATTCATTTAAAATGATAAACAAATTCCTGCGTCAGATGTCATACATTTTCACCTGCCACACAGAACACAGAATTCTCAATGGCCATGGGACAGGTAAGATTTAGAATGTTGTCACTGTTAGCAAGTAACTGTATTTTATCTGTATTTCATCAACCTCACGAAACCTCAGAAACGCTGGCAAATTTTGAGCCAGGTATGGACTTGGCAGGCACTGCTGAGCACTGTAGCTCCTCCATCTCGGTCGGGGGGTGGGGTTGTGGGGCTGCACACACAGCACAAGCTGCTGATGGATTGACACAGAGCCAGCCAGCCGCTGCACCACAGTCCCCGAGAAATTGTGAGGATGTGAGACAAAAGCCACGCTCACGTGTGCACACCATGAAAATAAATCCAATATTTAGAGAAAAAGGAAAAGGATGGTTGAAAGGATTCACAGCCTACATACAGACAAGCCTGCAAAAAACAGACACACACACACACACAAAAAAACCCTCTCTCTCTCTCTCACACACACACACACACACACACACACACAAACACACAGCATACACACAGAATACACACAGAATACACACAGAATACACACAGAATACACACAGCATACACACCTGCACACTGCAACTCAGCACTCTCACTGACCCATCAACTTTAACCAGTGAAGGGATCCGCAAAATAATCTTTACTTGTTAAGCTCCGCTTCACTACTGCAGTACTTTATGACGACAGAGTTGGGGAACTGCAGTAGAAATGAGGGTGGGGGTTAGCTGACTCTTCAGTGCCATAAAGGCTCATCAGCCCAGAGGCTCATGAAGGGCAATCGATGTGGCCCTTATCAGGCGATAAAGAGACTTGGTGATGGAGACAGGACGCTGAACATCGCTACTTTTTGCGGCTGCTCGCAAAAATAAATAAATAAATAAATAAATAAATAAAAAATAAAAATGTTTTGTCAACTCATAATAGGACAATTTCATGAACATAGATTTCCAAATCTTACACTGTAGTCTATCTGAACAACACTAAGCTGATGCCCAAACTGTGAAAAGTTTAAAACAAAACAAGTAAATATCTTCTGGAAACCTTACACAAAAAGTTCTCACTTCTTTTGCTACAAGATGCATTGTAACAAATTGTATAAAATCTTTAATTCACTGGAGCCATAGACTCCGACAGCTTTTCATGCGTCTGTTGTCTAAGTTATCATAATCTTTGTGTTACTTTGTACACGTTATCAGTTGTTTTCATGATTAAATACTTATAAGTCTGTAAAATATCAGAAAATAGAAAAATGTCCATAACAATTTCCCAAACCATGAGGTGATGTCTTCAAATTGCTTGTATTGTCTGACACATAGTCTAAAACCCCCCAAAAACTTTTGGAACCTGTCATTGTTTGTCCCTTTCAACCTTTTCTATCAACTCTTTGACTTACTTGACAAATGATTTCAGAAGTAGTGCACACTTTCTCACCTCTTTCACTGTGGCATCATCAAAGAAGACCCATTTGGAAGACTTGGTGTGGAAGGCGAAGGCACAATAGTGGCGGCTGGAGTAGCAGATCATCCCCACGAGCTGCAGCTCTCCTTTTTTGGCATGCTCATCTGTCACCCTGTAGAAGAGCTGAGCACACACACACACACACACACACACACACACACACACACACACACACACACACACACACACACACACACACACACACACACACACACACACACACACACACACACACACACACACACACAAATATACCAATTACTCATCGACATCAACGCTGCAGTAAGTGGGCTGGCAAGTGAGTGATGTTGATAGCTGGTGGAATCAGTTACTCCATCTGTTATAGATTAAGGTCTGAGGCAATGAACTGGCATTGATTTGACAATCAGTACGAATAAGGGCTGGTTTAAATCAGAGCCGTCATAGCAGCACTTGATAGACTAATACTACAGTGGTCCACAGTATTCTTATTGATTGTCTGGATACTAATATACAGTGGTATTTTCTAATTTTATCTCTCTCATAAATAATGTGAAAATATCAGCAAGAACAAAGAATGAATTGAAACATATGTTAGTGCACATATGGAGAAAGTGTTGGTGAGACAGTCACTTGTTTCTCCTTGCCATGTTTCCTGCACAGCCAGTTCTCTGTTTTCCTCTCACTCTTTCAAACAATAGATTTCAAAGCAAACGATGGGGGTGGAGGGCTCCCTTTAACACCCAATAAAGTCACATGAAACGCTCCCTAATGAATCAAGGCTTTTGTGGCACAGTAGTAGGGGGGGTCTGACAAATTCTTCTGATGGTATGCTTTGGAAACACACAAGAGGGAGCTGTCAAATAAACGGTTTGAATACTTCAATAAAGAAGTTATGTAATGTGTGGAGCGTATGAGCACTGCCCTGATCTGAACTGCACTGATTGATTTTTTTTTTCCTTGTGAAGCTCATCCACCACAGTGGACAGATGTGTGCAGGAATACTTAGGAAGTCATGTTTTACATACTTATTTCATGTTAACACTGCCGACAACCTAACCATATACATGTGTGAAGATGTGATTTTATGGACAGAAAAGGAGAAACGTATGCCCACATTTCTGCATACTTACGATCAAGAATGTGTGAATATAAACACTGCAACAAAAGCAGTCTTGAACACATGTTTTTTCCTCTCTGTCTCAGTGACGTCTATGCAGCCCACATGTTCCCTCAGACAGGCATGCACACACGCGCTCAGGAAACACAGAGATCAGGGGAGGGGCTTTTTGACAAGCTGACCAAGGCCAGCAGGGGCTTTTTGATCAGTAGCGCAGGCCAACTGGGCATTGGGCGTTGACTACTTACGCAATGGCACCGACTTACAGAGAAATAAATCCCCACTTTATTTCCCACATATGTTCGATTGCACCAAAAATAAACTGCCGCTAAAACCGTGACAAAAAAAAAAGGAAATGGCAGCTGTGTGAATTAACAAATTCCAAAGAGATACTGACAAACTGAACCATGTCTGGAGAGTTGTTTTATACCCTGTTAGAATCACTTCACCTGAAAAGTTAGCTTCATACATTTTGTCTTAAAAGATTATACTTTTTTAACTGAGATTTTCTTTTCATAAAAAGATCCTGTCCCTCTCTGTCAGTTTTCATGTTTGGATTCCACACAAACAGGTGACAGAATATTAATGGAGAATTACAAAAAAAAAGGAACTACAAAGTGTAAAATGTACATAAAATGTTGGACTCACTGCAGAAAGACTGAGATGAGGCCCCAGCGATCGGATGACATCCTCTGTGAGATCTGACTGGTCAGAGTCCCAGACGAAGCCTATGGTAACAATCTCTGGGGAGTTCATGAGGACTCGTCTGATCCTAATCCTCTGGCCACAGTTGCTCTGGAAAAGAAAGACACGAGGAAAGACCACAGTTTTACCCAAAAGCAAGCAAAAGTCAGTAAAGATTAATATCAAAATATTTGAGAATGACTACATTCCAAAACACATTGTTCTTTCAGGGACCGTGAAAAAAATGCTTCTTAAAACACTTTGCATCGACCACTTACTGGACAGTTACGAAGGTCTCCTATTGTACTTGCTGCTTGTAACAGTTCCCCAAATGACTCGTCTCTGTGCTGAAGCGTCTGTTGACTGAGAAAAGAAGAGACGCATTGTCAGCAAGAAAGAACAAGCGAACAAGAGGAAAGGAGACAGACAGAGACAAATAAAGATTAAGGTATGTGGAGAGAGAAGAAAAAACTGTTGTACGAAATGTCAGCTAAAAAGTTAAGTTGTGACAAATGTGCAGAAAGAGACATGAAAAGCAAAAACAGAGTGGAGTAGGACAGATGACAATGAGGGAAAGCAAAGAAACTGCCTTACCAGAGGGCGGTGGTGGAGACATAATGCACTAGCTCGGTAAACGGCAGTGGGTCGGAGGATGCCCCACAGCTACGGCACACAGACTGCAGAGGGGGAGAGAGTTGGACACCAAGAGAGTGAAAAACACACGAATAAAGTTACTAAAAAAAAAGATACACACGTGTGATTTCAGTGTGCATATCTGCTGTCAAGGACTAATTATCAAGTCAGCATGACATTTTCCAAAAGAGGGAGATCAAAAATAGTCACAATAAATAAATGAAAAAAACTCCATAATTTGTTATGACATGCTTGTGTTACAGCTTTTCTTGTAATAAGTTTTAAACTGTGGGCTCTGTAGTATCCCTTTAAGTCTCCAACTCAAGTGATTGACATGATCAGACATCCAATTTAATTTTTGAAGTTATCAATCTCCCTCTGACCAAGGCAATCCTCATTTAAGGCCTTGATAATATTTGCTGGATTGGGTGCCCTGAAGTTGAGGTGAAATCCACTGACTGTGCCCCTAAGGGATTTAGTCCAAAGGCGTATTATCTGTTTGATTCCGAGATAGAACTGGTTTGGGACAGGGACAGGGACAGGGAGAGTCAGTGATTGGCATCACAGCCACAGGGCAGGGTGGTGTGTGTGTGTGTGTGTGTGTGTGTGTGTGTGTGTGTGTGTGTGTGTGTGTGTGTGTGTGTTGTTGTGCTGGAATTTATGTGTACACCATCTGTGATTTATCTGGTACTGCTGCTGCTGCACTGTGGAATCTGACCAGAAACACCCTCCTTATTCCGCTGGGGCGACCCAGTATCAAAACATGACGGATTGGATTTCTACTGTCTCAGACAGTGATTCATGTACCTGTCTGTGTGTGTGTGCGCTGCTTAATCCTAACATTGGCTAGTGTGTTTTGGCTGTCCACATATTACTGAAGAGGCTGTACAAACAAAGACTGAATGAAGTGAAACATCTAAAGAAAAGAATTACTTGTTTTTAATATCACCATTTTCACAGATTGGTGGAGCAGCAACAACAAAAACACTGTCTTCAGCAAATCAACCTCATATTTCTTCTGCTTTCTAACCCCCCTACTGACCTGCTCATAAAGTGACATAGCAAACTTCTGATGCGTGATGCAAGACTTTGAAGTGCAGGCATCTGTCTCTTCCGGCACAATGTGCAGGTGGATCCTCTCCAGTATGTTCTCCTGCGCAACAACATGACATCTATCAGGTGTGGGACAAAATATTTTAAATTCTGTTGTTCTGTTATGTTGTAAAGCCACAAGCTATTTATTTTTTAAGCCAATACAGACAAGAGGACCACACTGCAATACCTTTCCAAAGCAACAGTTCAGTTTTAAGAATCACGTTGTAAATCCTGACAGCAGAAACAACATTTAAAGAGCAAGCTATTCTCCATTTTAGCTCCCACCTGTTTCTATGGAGTTCTTGTGAGTTGGTAAAATATTAACGCTGCAAGGTAGGCCTGCAAAGGTTGCAGGCACAACTTCACAGCCTGTTAATCTGACACTGGCTAACTCCTCACATAAATTCTGTACCGGCACACTGCTGCCAATGTATTACATGGGGAATGCTCAAGGGCAAAGATCTGTGTGGGATTAAGAATTAAGATTGTCTATAAAAGATAACAAAGTTGGCACGTAAACTTCAGTGTTAAGATGTAAAAAGTCATTGTTGAGATTTTGTATGGGGGGATTTGGCAGATAAAGAAAGAAACAAAGAACTAAAGTTGCTTTCTCAACCTCTAACTTCATTATGTGGTAGGATGGTGAGTAGTTTCCTATTTCAGAAGAAGCAAAGTGAATAGATGTTCACACTTGTGCAACCAGTGTTCACATTTAGTACAGCCCTCCACTCCTGTTTCCGTTTATCATTGCAGGGTAATTGGACTTCCTAAGTGGAAGAATAATGATTGAGGGAGGGAAAAAAATCAGGATACATCTGTGCTGTTTGGGTCTACAGTAATTAAGCAGAGGTGACCAAAATCGTGAGACTAAAATAAACTAATTAAGCTAAAACAAAACATGGTTGAAAAATGAAGGATAGAAAATGCTGCAGGATCTGTTTTATATTTGACAGCTTGAGTCAAAATAAAAACTGAAACAAAAATACACGAAAATTACACTGCAGTTAGGGAAAAACACAAGTTCTGGCCAAACAATGCTTTGTTGAGCAAAACAGAGCTGAAGAAATGGAACTAATATGTAAAAACGATGAAGGACGCATGAAATCGACTTTAAAAAAAGGCACAGAAAAGCTGCGACATAATATGGTAACACAAAACAGAGAGGTTCAAACACAACTACGCCGCTTATATAACCTGTCATGATGATATTTAGCGGCAATGTGGCAGGGGTTGATGAGAGGGACAGAAGCTCTTTCAGTGACCTCGCCGAACAGTTTGTTGCAGTGCATTACCCCGAACTGTGTGGCAGGGTTAACACACAAACATACACACATCCCTCTCTCCATACGCTAGTCTCCCTCCCTCAGGATAGTCGGGTTGCCACAGGAACTTACAAAGCACTCTGCGGCATCGTCCATGAAGCCCAGCTGGAAGCGCTGCTCGTCCTTAAAGGTCTCTGCCAAGGCGTGACGCAGGTTGTCAGAGGGCAGGGCACGCTCCCGACTGTGCTGGAACTGGGAGAAAATACCCTGAAGAGGAGAGCAAGAACTTGATTGCATGCTGACTATGGAACATTTTGTTTATTTAAAAGCATTTGTGTCACCCTCGCTGCTCAATACGCAGTGTGGATAAGTGAGCTGAGCAGTTGCCACATTTGTAATGACAAACAGTAACTAGAAAATAATGTTCGCTCCCGTTAAATATGTTTGTGATTGTATTCTACCTTTAATGCACAAAAGATGCATGATTCTCCCAGACAGAAGTGTCCAGGTAGCTGCCTCAAGCTGCGTCTGAAGATGTCCAGCTGCCAAAGTACCTACACAAGGAAAAGAGGGGGAGGTTGCCTTGATTGAGACTATGACCAATACAATGACCTTGACATTTGGGCCTTTCTTAATTATAGCCCAAAACAACGACGCAAACATAAGAACAGGTGCTTGTTTGTTTTGTTTTTTTTAAGTGCGAAGTACACTTGACACCCTTGGTGGGTCTTTTGTTGCGTATGGCATTCAGACATTAGGACAGAGCCTCCAAGGTCATGAGGATGAGGACAGGCGAGAAGAGCCAGTCCCTTACAGAAACAAAGCCGAAGGTAACGATCATCTTCAACCATCTCATTGGTTGTCTCATCCTCTGAGTCACAGTCTCCCGAGAGTGACCTCACTGTGGGGCTGACTGCAATAATGAACCAACTAGCCACCAGGCCAGTATCCCAAAAGTCAAAAGCAACCTTCAAGTACATTAATAGAGTGCTGAGAATCTCTCACAAATTTAGACAGTGACTAAGCTTTTAAATTTCTACATAAATGGTCACATTTTAAGAGGGTAGAACATGGTGTACAGCTCCAGGAGGAGCACAGCAACAAGTGAATAAACAAGCAATAAGAATAAGAGGAAAGTAAAGAACACTTTAAAATACGTTATCCAATGAAAATATAATGCAACAAATACTTCTTGTGCAATTTACAATTTTCAAGTTCTTCAGAGCCATTCAACCTCTGAATTAATTTTAATAACTATGGTGATCTGTAAAGTTCAAGCACTTTACTATACAATACCTGTAGAACTAATAACATTCATATCATCCTTTACTGTAATTTGTATTAGCACTAATTAGCAAATGTTTGCATAGTAACATCTTATCCTAAGCCAAAGAAGAAGCCAAACAGAGACAGGAAAGGCGGGGAGAATTTGGGGGACAACATGCAGCAAAGGGTCCCTCATACATGGTGTGCACACTCCACCAGGCAAGGCACAAGGGCACCACTGTCTTGTTACTTTTTGATAAGAAACTGAGTTTTTGTCTGAAGATATTACTCAGTTTTATAGCCAGTCCTACCTGTACCGCACTGTTGAGGAAGCAGCTGTTTTGGCCCGGCTCGTTCAGCAGTCCTTTGGTGGGGGCCAGAGACAGCATGCTCCCCGGCTGGTACGACTTCCCCAGATTGCCCCCCGGCTTCCTGAAGAACTTCACCCATGCCATTGGATAGTGGGGTCTGCCTTAAGACAGGTGGGATAGTCAGACGACGGCAGGGGAGGGAGGTTGGTGCTGGGATCAAATCCCTCTGCCCCTGGCGGAGTGACTCCCAAACACAGTCTGGGGCTAAGTTATTCCACGAGCTGCAGCAGCTGCCCCGCTACACATGGGCTTCTAGTCCATCTCTGCACCTCATGTAGAAGGTCCTTTTACTTTGTCTGCTAATTAAAATAAAAGGGTTTTCCCCCCCAAAAAATAAAAAAAAATTGAAGTCAATACAAAAAAATTACAATCCAAGTCTTTGATTTGGGAAGCCTTTGATGATCAGCGGTCTGATACTTGTGATAAGATGCGTTTTGACTTCGAGGGAACATGCCTCGGTCATCTAGTAGTCTTGATGGTTCTGCTCAAAGCTTCACAGGAGCTTCAGAAAGGCTCATGGACCCCTGCAAGCAAATGCTGCCACATGGTCCTGATGCTACTGAAGATATTCAGCTGCAGTCAACCGTCCTTCACAGAGGCTCGTCTACAGTAAAGTTTTATCCAGGCTGGACAGCAAACACGGCTGGGCTGCGTTAGAGAAAGAGAGAATGAGATTACCCGAGATTAAATGAGATTTTAAATGACATTATGTATCTTGTTAGTGGTCACTACTTTTTCTAGCATGTAAGCACTATTGTTTTCTAGTATGTTTAGTTTCTGCTTTCACTGGGCAACATTTTTATAGTAATTTTATAAAACAATACAGTGATTCTTGAATAACAGGGAGACTAACGCTACAGCTAACTCTACAGTCTTCTTGCACTCATTTCTAGGTTAGCTGATAAACTTTTTAGACATGTCAACAAAGCTTATACATTAACTTTTATAAACAGCCTTTGCACTGGAGGTGTGTCAATCTAAAGCTGGCCCCAGGTACAGTTGCACAATAACATTCAGACGGATTCAATTTCAGTTTCCGGGTGATAGATGACAACAGCAAAGAGACATTTAAAAAGAATAAAGAAACTGTTGACCTAGAGCAGAGCATTTATGTAGACTATAATTGAGCTCATATCCTTTTTGTAATTGTACAGTAAAAACATAACATGTGAATGTAAATCCAATCAAAAAGTATATAATATAATCAACAATAAAGAAAAATACTTCAGAAGTAACATGGGCCAAAAGTTAAGTTTTAAAAGCAGCTGACCAACAATTAGAAACAGAAAGATCTGCATTTTAATAAAATAATAAATAATATATAATATAGAGAAAATAAGAAAATATGTAACCAGAAAATGTTCAGCATTTTTGCTTGATACCTGAAAACCTATTGATTATCATAATTAACATTGATTTCTTCTGTCAAACACCCAACTGCCCTATAGTATTTACTATACTTTACTGCTGTATCCCTTTTGTAAAATAACACAGCTTGGCTCTACACTGACACGTTATCATGCGTTTTAAAAAGATCTAAGTTTGCAGCTTTAGATCCAGCTGAGAGCTCAAACTGAAGGTCAACAATCTGTGGCTTGAGATTTGAACATGCCAAAATAAAATAAAAATACAGCTTCAAGTTTCTTTTGTGTTCCATTTTGTCAGTTTTCCTGGCATCGTCATTCTTTTCTAAACTCAACTACAAAAGAGAACTGGCCTGACCTATTTTTTAACACGAGAAGAGCAGTGCAGGACATTATAACAAACCACTGAAGATGCAGTTCAATTTACGAAACTTGCAGCCCATGCAGCTTAAACAAGGTAGTGAGAAAGACCAACACAATGTGCAGTGAATGTGCAGCGCTGAACAGACTACTTTGTGAGGTTTGATGGATGAATATGTTTGTGCTGAGTGAGGCAGTGGAAGCTGTGTCTAGGTTATTATAATAGTGAATACCCCAAGAGGTATATAAAGTCACGGCCTTTAAGTTTTACTATGTTTATTGTGATTTTTATGATATTCTTTCGTGTCATTCTACATGATATCAAATCTTATCCTGTAACTTTATGGGGAAAAAAGTTGTGGCAAAACAGATGTACTTCCAGCACTGAAAAAGCACAAAGAAGCCACAATGAGCAAAAATTCCTTGCGTGATACATGGTGATTCATCCTCTTTTAGTCTCCAACACCTAAAAAAAATAACCTCAAAGAATAAACCTCAAACATTTTGTTATTCAGGGTGAGGACAAAAAAAATACTGCCCTACTTTGTGCAAACAATGAAACTTCCCTCTTGTGACAGTCTCCAGAACCACATTAAGTTTCAGCCAAAACAAGTTGGACAACATTTGCATCCTGGTATTTCAGGAATCCTCAATGGATGGTGATGTTGTTAATGGCACAACCTGAAGTTTAGTATTTACATGTAGCATTTACAGTCACCTACACATGATTCAACTAAACATGCTAAAGCGTCTCTGCCTCTGCACTTTGCAACTGGACTCCATAGCAACAGCATTCCAAAGCAATCACTTAAGCTCACCGTTGCTTAAGAGCTGCTGTTTTCGGATTAGTTTCAGGGCTGGAGGGCCGAGTGGAAAACTGTACGCTGCACCTATACAGCCCACCTTTACCAATGACAACACATGCCCTGACATGCTGCTACTATCTGTACGTATCACGATAAGCTGTCTCCGGACTACATAATGTTTCTTTAATCTATTATTGTTATAGTCTCATAACATTTTCCTTTATTGTTATTATTGCAAGTGTGTTACCACCAGCAGCTCAATCACTAAATCACAATTTAACACTTCTCACAGTTAAGGAAGAGGACCTATTTTTAAAAAGAACGTGCAACATAATCGTGTAGCGTCTCTTCCATATCAATTTGCCAGCAAGCAAATACAATACCACACATCCACATGTCCACATTATTCAACGTCAATTTGACGGCATGCAGAATGAACGCCATGTTTTGTATTGCTTGTTTGTATGACATTGCTGACAACGGCGAGAGTAGATATGGCTCTGCCTTTCTGGTCCAAGGAATTTTATTGCATTATGGTGGTCCACTTGAAAAACTGCCAGCCTCACTTATGTTAACCTTATCTTTTAGTCCGAGCAAAATTGGCACTTGCTGACTACAATTCAATGACATCATTTTGAAATATTATGCTCTCTTGCTTAAGGGCAAAGGGCATCAAATAATAGTACACTTACTTTAAACATTTTTGCCCTTACTTAACAAGAACCTACATTACTTTCACTGTCATTTCATTTTCTTTTGGGCTATTTTGAAGCCATTGCTGAGAAGAAATCCACTCCAAAAAGGAAAAAAAAAACATTCTAGGATTACCAGATAAAGCATGACATTTCTCATCTGACAACATCATGTCACAGGGACCATGTAGTGTTTCCACTACAGGACATTTTTAGACAGGGACTGGCTGAGTTACAATCCAGAGAGGTTAAAGTGGCACATATTGTATCTAACCTGTGAGCAGGAGAGAGTGATGAGTTAGTGAGGAAGATGTTCATTGTCTGCACAGACGTGTAGACGTGAAAACTGCTGTATTGTATAATAAAGAACCTATTTCCTCCCAAAAAAATGTAAAACAGATCCCACATAATTGACTTCAACCGAGTGCAGCCATGTAAAATATCTGCCTCCTTGTTTATAAAACTAGGTGGAGGGAATGACTCAACTGGCTGGTCACAATATTGTCCAGAAGCCAGGTTTACGTCATTGCTCAATGTAAGCAAAGACGGCTGTTGACACCCTTCCGTTTCAAGTCTTACAGGTTAGGTTTTCTTAAAGCCGATTTTCCCTTCTTCAGGTTAATCCTTACAAGTTTGTCCATATTTAAGTTATCTTCTTTTTATGTAAGCCTCTGGGTTTATATCACGAGGTAACCAAAATGAGCTCATGTTGATATGATCAGTCCTTTGTTCAACACGGGTCTCTGTAGGCCTGCCTCACAAAGCATGTAACTTACTTAAGCTCTCTTTGGGCTATTTGGCTTTAATAAACTTAATAACATTGGTGATCCTGGATAACACAAACACATGGCTCGGAGGATCCTGGAGCTGAAAGCACATGAAAGCAATGGGCTTCAAGCACATGCAACACTGACAGATCAAGAGCAGTGTGTATGTGACATGAGATAAGATAAAAACATTGATCCCTGTAGGGAAATTAGGTCACGACTGCAGCGAAAAGTAATATTCAGTGAGGTAACCGAGACAAAATCGAAGCACACCACCTCAACACAGAAAAGCACCACTTGGAATAGCAAAAAAAAAAAAGGACAAGTAACAAAAGCAACACGAAGCAAAGTGTGTGAAAATATTATAAATATTATATATATCCCTTAATTTGCAGTTGCCATTTTATGTGTTAGGTATCCTCGAGTGAAGAAGTGTAACAACTATAATGAATATATATATATATATATATATATATATATATATACACACTTTATATATATACACTTTTAGCTGCAATATTATTTCTGCTGTTGGTCTTGTTGAAAACTATACTCAATTAAGGTGTATGTGGAAAAAAAGGTTTGTGTGAGGAACTAATTGTGAAGTGTGTAGATATTCTTTCTTTTATTAAATGAGATAGATACAATGGGAATAATTAATAAAATCTATTTAGTCTATAGAACAATGACTGTATCTATTCACAGAGACATCTTACAGTGTGTTCTCTGGGGCTGCAGTGACGGAACTGGAGAGCAACAGGCTGCAAGTGTATATTTTATTTATTACCGATACCGCTAAAAACTAAAAATCTACCCGCGACTCATTGGAAGCAATATTTTTAACCAGAGGGAAAGGAGGTTGTACTGCAAACATCTGTTATATTTCCGATATATCAAACGGCATTCTCTCTGTGAATGCATTATTTCTGTTCATAGTGTGAATAATTGGTGATTATATATTGTATTTTTTTTTAATATATGTTTAATTTAATCTGTAAGTCTGAACAAAAATAAATGCTCCTGGCAGGTTCGGTCTGTGGATTTATTTACTACAACAGTGGACTCGGTCTGAAGTAAACCCATGTAAGGACCTAAATGCTGGGGTAAAATACACCAATTCTACTTCATTAGACTGACAGACTTTGTATCTTTAACATTTTTCAACAAATGCAACAACATAAGGCACACAGAGAAAAAGTAAATGAAAATCTTAACTTTCTTATAATTATACTAATTTATAATTCAACTTCATAACAATTGAATGTCTCTCATTGATGACAGAAGCTTTTACTGTAATAGCCCTATGTACTTGAGTGCAAATCATTTCTAACCATTATCAAAAAGGGTGTCAAGAGAACTACAACACTGATGGATATAATTGTAACTATTTACAGGTAAAAAAACAAAACCAACATCACTCTCCATGCATTATGGAAGCCTTGCCATAAAAATGCAGTATACATCCGAGTAGAAGCCAAACAAAAGAAGTGATTTCACTTTTTCTCTCAGGAGCAGCAGTACAGGAAGTCCAGTCTTCCTTTATAAACAAAGGCTTGCTCAGACTTGTCAAGCAAGTCCAGGATTGACTCTTTTTTTCCTCCTCATCATAGGGAAAATGCTACGCTTAGCATCTTGGAGCAATCAGCCAAAGAGTGTGTTGTGCATCAGCACCTTTGACAAGCCTGAAGGGAGTCAGTAAGATACAGGCATGTTTGGTGTGAAGGTACAAGGAGCTGGATGCTATAATTTATCTATTAGTGATATGTTGACGGATAGCCTCATTAAAAATGATTCAATTGATCTCCTTTGTATGGTAATGCAAAGAGCCGCTAATGAATAAATCTGTGGTAAATTGAGTCACACTAATTCAATGTCTGTAAGATGTGAAAATAGAAAACACACCGTGGGAACAGCACAAAGAGAGAATGTATATAAAGAGCCTTTTGTTGGGACAACTTAGCTTACAGGTTCACTTTCAAGTCAACACTTCTCTCTACATCATAGCTCTTTCAAAACACCCAAATCACATACAGTTCCTCATGGGTTAGACACCGCCTTAAAATTAATTTTTAATCCACCTTTTCCTTGATAAAACACTGCGTGCCCCACAGCACAGAACAACTTTCGGTCTCTGTACTGCTTCTCTGACTCCAGGAGTTGAATCAAGGTACCTTTTTCTCAATGCAGATCAATACATCTTTCCATCAAGCTGGTGCATTATCCATTACCTGCATGACAACTGAGAGTTCCCTCCCGTTACTCCTCACCTCTGACGCGCTTTTTTCCTCAAATTTTACTCCAAATTAATTTTGTTGTGTTTTATGCACCATCATACCTTATATTAAACAAGACATATGTAAGTAATCCAATTTTACCTTCAGAAAAATAACTTCAGCGCTCAGTTGAGTCATACATGTAAAATCTAATTCCAACTTTTTCCTCACCTACACTTGAGTAGCCCACACAGACACTTATAAAACAAACCACAAATGAACTTGCATTTATGACCGACTGATACAAGAGTACTCAAGGCACACTATTTTATTTTAAATAACTTTTTAAATAAAACAAATTTTTCAAGCATGTAATCTTTCTATCTTTAATGTAAGACGCATTGGCCATAACTGGAAACTGAAAAGATTGGAAGAAAAAAACAAAAAGTACACTAATGAATGGATTAAAAAATGCTGAGCAAGGTAGCAGATTGCATTGTGTTTGTTGTTATCAACTGCATTTTCTAAGGTTGCACAATTCCTCTTCCCAGATGCACCTGTGTTAATTTCACTTACATGTCGAGTTATCCCTGACATGAATTTAAAATGATTCTCTGGGACACGGTGACAATTAACCAGTGGATAGTTACGGACATTTTCCATGTCTTGAGTGTCTCTATTTAAGATGCAGTCATGAACATTTCTCAGAAGTCTGACTCATGGTAAATGTTGCAATGGATGAACAGTTTTAAATCAAGAAGACTCCTACTCAGAATTGTACTTCCACTTTATCTGTTCAAGTGGGGACCTAAATGTCTCACATTAGGACATAAACATTTTTCTCATTGGCTTTCCACAACTCTTCTGTCAGCCTGTATATTTTAATTAAGAGTTTGGGCTGGGCAAACACAGAAAAGTCCGAAAATACACAACGGCTGAGCACAAGCGGCCACCGCATGTACGAGAAGAAGCAATAAAAACGTGACCCTGCATGCTAAAAGCCTAATGTAACAGTGAAACTTAACTGGAAAATTCCCTATGGACTGCAGACATGGTTTAAGCCTTGGGGCAACAATGCAGTGGTCGTTTCCTGTGTGGGCTTCCTGCTCAAAGGCTTACCGCTTTCCAGCACACGGTCACTGCGTTCTACCCTGTGAAACTGAACAGGTCACCCACACCACGCTGAGTCACCCATTATTCTTTACGGCGTCCAAGAGAGGAAAAGGGAGAACAAAAGCACATGTTCCAGGATCCCATACTGAATAGAATCTGATTGAAATATAACTTCCTCCTCTGCACTCTTATGATTGCTTCCTTAATGTCCCAAAATTTGACAGCAGCTTGCCAAGAAATATTAAGTGTGATGACCTTTTTTTCTCATCTTCAGCTTTATATATATATATATATATATATATATATATATATATATATATACACACACACATACACATACATACACACACACGTACATTTGTTCCAGTTAAAACAAAATGTAAAGTGGCAAACCCCTTGGTCAGGATTTTAAAATCACATGCCAGGATATTTATCAAAAGCAGATCAGCACATTAAGAACACAACACCTCATAAAAAGTACACCTCTTCCAAGTACTCTTGCTCGACATGCCTGGAAACAAAAAGGAGGCAGATGGCTTACTCTCAAAACTGGTTCTTCAGCATGCCTCCATATTTAAATCACCATCCAGCTCCTGAAGGAAATGTTTCACAACCGTCAACATAAAGGATGAGTGTGCATGATGTGTACAGGGCTGGTGATCTCACTGCTTCATCATCACTGTGCCTTATGGGACTGAGGGTCTGCAGGGTCTTATCACAGGAATGAATGGATCAAAAGTGGGTGAACCCGGTTCACAGGGTGCACAGAATGGAGGTCTGTAAATGAGCTCCTATAAACTCCTGGATGTTTTGTCCAAATATATATATATATACTTTTTTTTTTTAAGAGTGCGCAAAAAAATTAGGCAATATGAAACCTGTTATGGACTCCGAAACATAACAGAAGACTTGCTGGCTCGCTTGGACTGTGCTTGTTTATCCTGAGGTGACACAACACTATAAAAGATAGAGGGAAACTGATATACGTTATAAAATTATCTGAAAAGCATGTTTATGGTCGGGTAAACAGACATTTTAATAGACTATGGACAAACTGTGTTGAAATAAAACATTAATACGAGAGGAATAGTCATTTAAGCCTCATTTTTGTTACGCTAGCGACATGTTTAAATATTTAATGAAAAACCGACACATATATTGGCTAGCTGTCAACAGCAATGCGACCCCAGACGACTTTAAAACGACAATAACAACAATAACTATTAACTTAATAAACTGTCAAAATAAAAGATAAAATAAGTCTTCTGGTGTTGTAAACATTTTGTAACTTGAAAAGTGTGCTAACTAAAGCTACACGACCGAGTAGAGACAGCTAACGCAGGCCTACCTGGTTTCCGACTTACCTGAGTTCCAGGTAAAGCTACATTTCCGCCCCACGTACTGCTGCAAAAACAGAGAAACCTAGGCAAAGTTTGAACAACTACTTGTGTCAAACTCACACAAAGAGCCACTCACCTAAGGGAGAAAAATAAACCAAAAGGTGCGGCAATATCCTCCAGTGAGAGAGTAGTGAAGTATTTTGGTCGAGTTTCGGGTGAAGCAGTAAGAGTCGCTGGTTAAAATCTACTTCAAGGCAGAGGCGGACGCTGGAAACTCAAACACTAAAAAAACTAAGTGTTGTCTTCACGCCGCTGAAACTTCACTCTCTCTCTCTGGCTTTCGTCCGGCTTCTTTTTCTCTCTCTTTCGGAAATCCCACTTCGGACACAGCAGCCAGTCTCTGTCCACTTGCGATATATTCCGTGTTAGTAGTAGGGGCGTGCGGTTCTGCAGCAGGTCGCGGATGCGCGGCGGTAGTGAGCACTAGCCGCTCGCTCGACTTCGGCACCTGAAATACTGGATTAGAGATGTTTTCAGAGCCGAGATGTCAAACCCCGCCTCTTCAACTGTGTATTTACTGCAGTCTGCCATGCTACTGTACACCACTGCCACAGCTACAGCGCGCGCACGCACACACATACACATACACACACACACACACACACACACACACACACTCCCAACATTTGCACAGCGCCAACTCTGCTGGCAGGGCTCGATAATGTTGCTCCATGGTGCAGGGGGTTTGCAGTTTGTAGCCCACCACAATGCGTAGTGTTTGCCTACAACTCTCCTACGGCAAAACTGCATCGCGCACATACTTGAGCATGTGTTTAAAAGTAGCCCGTCTTTCAGGAAAAGAAAACTGGAAAAGGACTTAAAATGCATTTTAATTTTTTGGTTGCCTGGGATGCAAAGATGTCACAGAGCCAGCATCTACCAATAGAATATCTGCATGCAAACGTTTGCAAATGTAGCATTGCAGTTGTGTGGTGGGGCAATGATTAAACATGCATTTAATCATTGCCCCACCTGCATGGTTATACCCCCAACAACGTCCCGACAATTATAACATGAAGAGAGTGGAGGAAAATGATGTAAGGCTCATGTTACCCAAACACCATCTGCCTGATCCTATTATATAAAGAAAGAGATGTTCAATTAAAGCAAGAGACTACTGAGGGTAATAGCCCTATCATGTTTTCAAGGCCCCCAGCGAGCTGACCATATTTTTAATCTGGAAAAATTATATTAATTAAAATAAGTAGTTTGGATTGCCTCCACAGGAAGGCTTATGATATGGGATATATAATTAGGAGGCCATAAATATATATATATATAATATATCATATCCCATTCATTTATTTCCAACATCTCTACTGTAGGTAATAACATTTGAACTTATTATTTAGATTCTAAATGGGAAATATAGCCAACATTACTGATTGCACACTTTTCTTTTGATTGCTATGGAGGGGGGGATCTGTATAATTTTGAATCTCTCACTCTTCCTGATTTACAAAGGTCAGTCTACTTTCTCAGATATTTCTTTCTTTGTAACTCTAAAACTCCCAAGCACCTTTGAGTGTCCACACTGGCTTTAAAAAAAAAAAAAAAAACCCAATGAATTTGCAGTGTCTACTTAATTCAGACTAAATATTGTTGGAGGAAATTCACTTCGGTGGAGCTTTGTGTCAATAATCAGTTGTAAAATCAGGCCTGCCAACTATTTTAACCAGGCCATTTGTCTGACAAGCTTTGTGTTAAAGGGAAGAATTCTCTGCTTTCCAAAGAAAATCAGCAGAGTCGCTCATTAAGTGTGCGGTGAGGGGTCACAATGTATCCGCGTGGTCCAGCCTTTCCCCAGGAAGTACTTGAAAGAGCCCATTGAGGAGACTCCCTCTTCACACATTTCCTCGAGGGACATATAATGCTTCCTCTTAAAATGTAAAAAGGTTTGAGAGTGTAGTAATAATCAGTTTGAGTGACATGAGCTTTAATGATCTTGGGTTAAAAGTATTGAACTTACCTTGTAACCCCATACTGTACACACTTTTACTACCTTACCTTTTTGGAGGGCTGATGTTAGGATTTTTTATTTTTGGAACTTTTCAGACAGGATGAACAAAAAAAGTATTTTGTTATCAGTGTGGTACTCTGAGCTCACATAGAGAAGATTCACTTTATGATGTTGGACATTCCCACTGTAGGCCTGCTTGCTTTGAAGTGCTGCCAGCCTGCCACTGAATATCTTATACTCCCTATAAATTATGGATCAGACAGCTCAAACAGATCAGGTCTTTAACAAGTTCCACAAATGTAAACTTTTCTTTTCTGACCTTGGTGGACAGCTTGCATCCAGCCGCTGAATCTGATAATTTGTGCCCTGTCAGCATTGCTGCCTTACTCTGAGCCAAAAGTCTAAAAATGACTGTATCATTGCACTGACACATCATTGCCTGGCTGGGATGCACTTTGAATGACTTCTGCAGCCATCTTCTCATTGCTTTTTTGATATAATGTATTCATTTTTTGCCCCTTGATGTTTCTACTTGTCCTAAGTGTTCACTTCTTCGCTTGGATTCTTAACTTTGCAAGTATTTCAATCAGATTATTTGTATAACTTGCTGAATGTGGCATCAAATTGTTCGTAAACTCAACTCAAACAGCTCAGCAAACCTGCACAAGTTTATATTGCGAAGGGCATTTTAATTTAAGATTAATGAACGAGACTTTGCCAGCCCTGCAAGCAGACACACAGTAAATGTCCTGCTGAGAGCTGGTGCCATTGCCCTGACTTCTCACCTTGAGAAAGCTCTGATGAAAAGCAAGCAATCTGCTGAACACAGTGAATAAACACGGCTCAAATGACAAACCCGCGTCCTCCCTTTGCCTGTGTTGCCCATTTTATAATTTCACCAGCAACTAGCACATGTTAAGTTTATTTTTAATGTGTTTTATTTTGCATTTCTCTCTCACTACAATAGGCTGCCAGTGCCTTTTTTGTCTGATGGATACATTTATTGATGATCATGATTGGGTCACTGGGCAGCTAAATTCCATTTCACCCCAAATGTGCTGTGCCATTTGAAGTGGGATATTTTTAGCTATGATGTCTGGCTTTTCAATCCATACTTACTGTACTCTATAGCCCCAAGACACAAAGGGAAATTGGGGCAACAATTCCAAAAGTTTTTTAAAAGCCTGCGCTTTCAGATTGGTTCGTAAAATATGGTTAAATGTATTACAAATTAATCTCATTAATCACAAAGAAAGAATCAATTCCTTAAACCTTTTTCTGGTAGAACAGTAGGCATACGGAGTAAGTGAATATACATTTGAATGAATAAAGCTACAGCTTCTTATGCCTCTGGTCTAATCTGTAGTAATAGCAAATAAAAAAATTAAGTATCTAATTAAAATGTAAACTTAATCTGCTTCTGTCTGAGCCTAGATAATAATAAATGACCCAGTTCCTGTGCATGTTGGTGTATGTGCATGCAAACCTGGATGTGTATGGTATCATGGGAAATGCAAATAATTCAAATGGAACAGCTTGTACAAAGGAAAAGTAGTATGAGGACACAAGTTGTCCTGACAGTGCTCATAAACACGAACAAATATGTGATAGTTGTTTGGAATCCATTTCTGTGTGAGTTCAAACTATGGGATTGTCAGTCAAGGTTCCTCGACTTAAACAAAAAACGCCCTTTTGTCATTTTCTGCAAAACCTGTACAAAGTGTAATGACTGAACAAAGAAAAGCTTGTAATGTTTTCTGTGAGCACGATTTGTTGTGTTGCTATTGAATTACTACTAATGAGAAACCACACAGTGGTGAATGCCCTGTTGTTACGTAAGAGATTAGACATGCTCCAACGCCACAATGGAGGCCACGGGAGGCGGCGCCTCTCAAGCAACCCATGCTATATTTAACCAGGGATTAAAATCTGGTAATGATGAGTTTTTCGGAACGAAACCGCTCCTCAGGTTTCTCAAGAGCAATTAAGTCAACAGTGCTTGGTGAGGACATTTTGTTCAACCACTTTTCAGTACACTTCTTGGTTGTAACAGCTGGGGTTTTTTAAAAAAGAAAATTTCAAAATAAGGGACTGCAGAAAACAAAGTTCAATGAATTACTGTTAAGATACAACAAACAAAAGTTTGGTACATTATGGAATGGTATTTGTGTGTTATCATGATGACTTAGCATTACCACGAACACAGCATCGGTGTATTGCATAATACATCGTGGCAGCAGGTCAGAGACTCCATCCGTCCAAGAGGAAAGTCTCCTCTGTGTGCATTTATTTCACTTTTTATTCCTTTGTAGTAATTTACCTTTTCTTTCTAACCTCCCGTGTAGGGCTATGCTCATTGTTTCACTGCAGAAAAAGTGGATGGCATAAGCATCATTTTTTGGCAATTGACCATGTTACATTAATTCTGGAGTGCAGCCAAAAGGGTGACTGTGATATATTTCACTGCTGTGTTTGCCGTATCCGTGGTAGCTGCAGCGCACAGCAAAAGCATGCTATCGCCTCAGTGCTGTCTGTAAGGGAAAGTAATACCCTTCATTGACTAAGATAAGGCACATTAATTATTCTTTCCCCAGCAACATCATCAAAAATGTGCTATTTCCTCCTTATGTCCACATTAAGGACATTTAAAGCTATTTCCTGCACTTTCCCAGCTACATTACATGAGAAAACATTTAATTGTCACCCGAAGGTCTCAGTGCTACAGTTTGTTTACCTACTGGTTGCATTAGCAGTTGTAAGTTAATAATTCTTCACTGACTCTTAACCAAAGAGAAGAGGTTAACATATATTGACCAGTCCGGAATATAGATGAGTCCCCTGAGGTAAAAGTCAGAGGCTGGATTACTGTGAGAGAACACCGCTCTAATTGGTCTCGGGGGCTTTTGCAAGTAAACAGGAACACAACCCTGAATGTTCATTTGTCCAAACAGGCTAATTACCAGCCTAGCTGTGTGCATCCTTCCATAAAGAGGTTACTACAGCGGTGAATTTGTGTGTAGTTAACCTCTCTGCACTTGATGAAAATGAGTGCACATTGCTCAACAATAACTTTCCGTTCTTATTTGTACCAAAAGATCAGAGATTCATTCTGGCATTCACCTTGTGATCCCGTCCAACCAAATATCCCAAACTAACCTAAGCACACTTATCATTGTTCATGGATGAACGTGCACAGGCATCCACCCTCACACACCCTGCTGACACTTGATGGATTGAACATTTACTCTGACCGAAACATAGTTCAAACCCATTGCGTCATTTCACCTCATTTCAGGAGTGGAATGTGTGCCCTCGTCCCCCTTCGCTTCACCTCATTGGCAACTTAACACCACCCTACTGACCCCTAGGATGCCTTTATTTTCTCTCATATTTTTAGATATCCCATTGGGCTTTGCACCTTCCTGTGAGAGTGACCACCTGCTGTACACATCCATCAGGCTATAAGTCCGTCGTGTCATCAGATGAGGAAGACGTGAACTAAAATGTTGACTCACTTTGCTCTTTATGGATTTTTATGTTAGGAGATCACTTTAACACAACATCACAAGGTTAATCCCAGATTTTCAAAATGTCTGGTGGAAAATTTGAGCATAAAACCCCATCTAAAATCTTAAAATGTGTGTCTGTATGCTAAAACCTTTGAGGGAACCATATGTCTCCCTCTACAGCTCATTTTCACGTGCAAACTTAAACAAAATCCTTCTGGGTTATTGGCTGGTCGTGTGGCTCAACCTTTTAGCAGTCATCTGTGTCAGCAGCATGCTGCAGTGTTGTGATGCTGTGTGTGCAGATGGAAACCCAAGGGACTTTAGCTTTAAAACACGCCAGTGAATGCAACAGCAGCAGAGTGCCATTGTTAACTGCTGATAAAGATACTGAAGGCCAGCTGCTCTGCTATAGACTGAGCCGAGTCAAAGAGTATATAAATCATGATATGAATGAAAACATTTAGTTACATTTTTACTCTCACTTCTTGCACACAAATAAACAAATTGTTCCCATGTTATCGGGCTTCTTGTTACATAACAAGTGGTCACTCCAGTCTTAGATTCCTATCAGGTGTTTGTGTGCAGTTTCTCCCTCTCTCGCTGCCCTGTATTTGAGCTCCACCGTGCTATCACCTCACTTTCCCTGGTGCTCTTATCCGGAGCGATTTAGAAGGACTAAGCATGACAGGTTTAGTCTCCTGCTCAAGGACGCTGTAAGAGTCGATTGCTGCAAATAACTTTTCAGTATGGGACAGTCATACTGGTAACCACTAGGCCACCCTATTGTCCAGAGCAAATTGTAGACCTCAGTCTATAATCCAGTGTCCTGTGCCTACTGTGCCATCTCATGCCAAGGCAAACACGCTTCAGGGGAAACTGGTTGCATTTACAGACTAATAATCGAATCGTCTGGCTCCCCTACCCTCAGCCTACGCTTGCAGTCTCTGCCAGTAATATTTCCGTTGCTGCATTTTGATAATGGCTACAATCAAAGTTCAAAGAGAGTTCATGCCTGCCCTTGATAAACACTGCTCGATATTTACTGTGGTGTTTGGCATGAGCTACTGGCACTGTCGGATGCTGGGGCTGGTGTGCTGTACACACCGTTCTCCCGAAGAGTCTGGCAGGAGGAATTCAATAGGACTCAGAAAAGGGAGTGGCACCGGGAGCTGCACATTCCAAAGGGTCTCCGACAAAGGCGAGGAATGCTGATGCTGGACTTAGTCACATGGATGAAGGAAATGTGAGAGGTATTTGCTAATTCATTTTTGCAGACAGAGAAGACTTCAGTGACTTACAAAGCACATAAACACTTACTCAGACAAAGATGAAGTAGTCTCCCAGACTTGTCAAACCTAGGAAAGCATGCTCAGACAAAGTTCTCATGAGAAATGAATTACAAATTTGGGGATTTTCATTTCAAATCTTTAGTCATTTGCAGGATTAAGTTACATCTCTTGTAATATTTATTCCAATTAACTGTGGGGGGAAGTTTAAAAAAAGACCTGGAAAGACTAACTTGCTGAATCTTTAATGAAAGTGATATAAAATATTTCACTTCCCCTGGTATCACAAGCAGAATGACAAAATAGGTATTTACTCTTATGAAACAGTTCAAATGTAACCCCAATAAGCAGACACTGGTTTACAGAAATGACACCAAACCCAGTTCTTTACAGGAACACACTATATGTATCACATGGTTTGCAAACCAGACCCATAACTTACTTATCTGAGGTCATATATCACTACATCATGTTATCTAACACATAGCACACTGTTGCAGTGATTGACAGCTCCTGACTGAAGCCTCCACACAGGCCGTTGTTGTGTATCTACGTATGTTCCTTTCCTCACATTACATTTAGATCAATCAGACCTGAGCTCTGAAATCATGGTTCTTGTAACTGTACATCAGTGGTGGAATGTAACTAAGTACATTTACTCTAGCACCACACTCGAGTACAAATTCAAAGTACTTGCACTTAACTTAAGTATGTCATGCTACATGGCATTTTATACGACTACACTACATCTCAGAGGGAAATATTGCACACTTTACTCACAATTCACAATTATTATATTATACAATTATTTGACAGATTTTTTAATTTTAAAGTTTGGACTGTTGGTTGGACAAAACAATTATTATAAAGGTGTCTCTTTGAGCTCTGGCAAATTTTGACAGCATTTCTCACTAGAATTTTTAGAAACCAATCAATCGATTAATGGAGAAAATAATCAGCAGATTAATCCATAATGATAATAATCATTAGCTGCAGTCCTATATAAAACAGTTCGTTTTTGTGTTGTGTAACAGTCACAGGGTACATTTGTCTGCATTGAGAACATTTACTTTGAATACTTAAAGTACATTTTCATGAATATACATGTACTTTTCCTTAAGTAAAATCTTCAGTGCAAGGCTTTTACTCAAGTATTTTTACAGAGTGGCTTTTTCCACCACTGCTGTACAAATTCACACCAAACCTGCAGTTACTAGTAGCAAGGAGTAAAATAGGAGCTTTCAACCTTTTTGTGAGTGAGGAAAATTGTATGTTAGACCACTCTGTAAACTCAACGAACAAACATGTTAAATTGATGCTTTCAGTAGAATAACATAGCATTGCGTTTTGTATAGCGTTTAATTATTTTCATATACAGGGTTGAACCAATTTCATTTGGAACTGGAATTGTGGGGGGTTTTTCTCTGGCTGTGGTATTACCACTGAAGGATCTCCTGAGAACTCTGCTGATATGAACTGAGAGTCAGTTTACTCGGCTTGCCTACTGAAGGTAAACCAAATAGTTCATCTAAATCTAATCTAAAAGTGCAACTCAGAAAATGTCAGCAAGGGCTGATGCTACCATTTGGGACACAGAGAATGATCGCCAAATACAGAAGGGCTCTATACTTTTTTAATCAATTAAAACACACCAGTAATGTATTTAACTGTTTCGACTCAATGGAACCAATTTGTACATTTGCAACTGTTTCAAAAAAGTATTTAGGTTAAGATTGAGATTAAAGAACATGCTCTGTGGGCACCTCATAGGCAACTCGTGTGGCTACCAGGTTTCCTCGGGCACCACGTTGGAGACCCGTGCTCTAAAAGGTCAAAGCACTTTGAATCTGTGGTTGCAGGTGAAATGAGTGGATATGCTCTTTTATGGCTTTAACCTTGTGGCCAGTGGACTCAAATGTTCAGTGATTACACAGGAAGAGTCAGATAATGTACATGTAAAAGTAAAAGAGCTGAATAAGGGCTGTGAAATATTTGACCTTTCCCACTGCCTCAGGTTTTCTCTAGTTACTCAAATGAATCATTTAAGCAGCAGTGGTAAAGGTATAAAAGTGTTGAAGACACTTAAGAGAACAAATTACTGTTATATTTCTCACACTTATATACAAACATATAGAACACTTCCTTTTAACATTATTTATTATAAGTAGGTAGCACCGGCAGCAAGGAGCTAGAATGCTAGCTTGGTTCAGCATGGAATACAGCATTTCTCTCTAAATTACTTAAATTCAAAATGTTGCTAATGTTATATGAGGTACTCAAACACATCAAATTCAAGTAAAATAATAAACTTTTCTCTTATTTTAGCTAATCAAAACACTGTTAACTCCCTGTACATTGTCGGTGCATCTCTTGTAAAAACCTGCTGACAACTTTCAGTCAGTCAAGTCTGTTTGCTTAAGCCTGTTACATGTGAGATAAATTCCTAAGTGCTGCAGTAATAAACAGAAAGACAGATAAGGAGTGGGCACAGCTCATCAAGCAGCTCTCCCATCAATCCCATCCCTTCGGCTGGGCATAGCCAAAAGATGAGAGACACATCAGTCAAGCCGCTCATGTCAGTGAGGCAGATTTGATTTGTCAGGCGGTGTAACCTTGAGGCGTGTTACAGTGGCTCACATGTATCTTTGGCCTCTCGCACGATGCGATAAGTGATGGGTTTGCATACGACTATAACACACACAGGCGAAGCATCATTCACTCAAGTGAGCCTTCAGTGCAGCTCTGGCCAACTTGCTGTGAAATCATGACTTGGGGGCATGTTGGGGAATATGTTACAGATCTGCATCCATGTTTTGAAAACAGAAGCATCTCGAAATTAATTTTAGCAGCAATTTTAGTGGCACAAAATGAAATTCAAGCATTTAAAAAAAAAAAACTAAATGAATAACTTGGACTTGTTGCATTCTAAACCATTTTATTGAGCAAAAACTTGTGTCTACAAGATAAAATACTCTTATGCACATTAATATACAGCAAATTCCATTTATTCCAGTAGTGTCACTCCCTACTGTAGAGGGTGATTAATTCATTTTTGAGTGAAGTGCAATAGTTAACATCCTTGGAAAACATGGTAACCAACAACGCCCAACAGGACACTCTCTCTCACCCTGACTCTGTTCTGACTGTAACGTTACCCGGCTCTCCACAACCTCTGGCACAGCAACTAAGTAGACAGCATCTCTGTGTGACCTCATTATGGGTTCAAAGGTCTTCTGACTCAGGGATGAGCACAGGCTCAAGGGAAACACTAGGGAGAGGGACAGGATCGCCTGTCGACACCCACCCCAGAGCAGATCTGTTGAAGGAGGGTCGATTTGCTGCCTCTGTGTCCCCCTGGAGCTCGGGATAGTCGGGGAGGGGTTCCATCGGGAGGGTCTTGATGGGAGCAGGTCTGGGTGCCTTGCTGAAGCCGCCGAACGGAGTTGCCACCCTGGAGGTGACGGAGCAACAGTGTTTTAACAGTAGCTGTCATGTGCTAATGAGAGGGACTGCAGTGACATTTGAAGTGATCCAACTAATTAAAGCTGAGCAAAGACTTTGACCAGGGGACATATTCTAAGAGGTAGCTGCTTTGTACATTGTGAGTTAGATGATGGACTGTTTTTCTCACTGAATTAAAGCAAGGCTATGTCAATTTGGGATAAAGTATTACAATTTTCCTCTTTTGAATGAAAAGTTGAATAAAATGCACCCTTGCTCAACTCTATACACTGAGGGTTTTTTCCACTACAGCCTTACTTAGTATGGTATGACCAGTAGCTAGATATATCTGTATACAATCAACATTCCTGAGCCAGTTTTCTGACTTTATCAGTCTCCTCTACTAAAGCTATATATGCCATGGCCTAACCTTTAAATACATAATAAATAAATCATAATAAGTCAGCCTAAATAAGATAAATTTAAAGCTGCTTGTGCTCACAGTGTCGGCTATTAAGCAAAAGTTACATTTAGGTTCACTTTTGTTTACATGTGTCTAAATTTTTGTTACCATTTTTATTTTATTAATGACTTGCTGTCCACCCGTAAGATTGTATACCTGTTGAAACTTTTGTAACCTGGAAGGTCTGGTCTGGGCTCTGGCTCGGGCACGCAGGTGATGAGAGTGTCAGCCAAGGCCGGGTCACTGATGATGGCCTGCTGCCAGGGTGAGAAGTAGGACTTCGGCACAGCTGTACTGTTGAACTTCTCTGGAGGGATGTCTTTCAAAGGACCTCCGTACCCTGGGTGGGGTTACAACACAGACAGTGATTGAAAATCAGGTTTTTTAAAATGTCAAATAAAGAGCAGGTATTGGGTTTCCCATTTTCTTTTCAACTGTTTTAATTTTCAAAATCTATCTATTCATATGTTTTAATTTTACGCTATTTTTCTAAAACTATTCTGGTGTCCCGGTAGGGAACTTCCCCACACATGGCTGGCAGTGAAGTAAAACTTCTCCAACAGCAACCAGCAAACATGCTGTCCAAAGAAAGCTGATCCTTCCCTTTGATTTCCTTTTTTGTATAAAACGATTACAGACCAGTCAGCTGGTCATGAGTAAGCTTGAGTATGAGTGTATGCAGTTTGCTGATGTCTCATCATAAGACTTCTGGGTAGTGATGTTGAAAAATTGACCTCTTGCTGCCCTTGGAGCTGTCAGAAGTTAGCTAAAATTAAAAGTGCAGGGTGTAACATTTAGAAGGATCTACTGGCAGAAACTGAATATTCATAGGTATGTTTTCATTAGTGTATATTCACCTGAAAAAATTATTCATATATTCACCGGGATTGAGCTATTTTTATCTACATACACCGCAGGTCACCTTCTGTGGAGTCCGCCACACTGAACCGCAATGTTTCTACAGTAGCTCAGAACAAACAAATCTAGCACTGGCTGTGGATAGGGATGTTCAAGTGTTTTGCATGTTTTGCAGCAACCTTAGCTTCTCCTTCGCACATGGAAATGGCGGGTGAAGCTAGGGAGTTGCAGTCACTGCTAGACGCCACTTAATGGACCTTCAAACAAAAAGAAATTCTAACACTGCTCCATTCCTTTTTTTAAAATACGCTAAGAGAAGTTTTTTTTATTAAACTGTGACAGAGAGAAATAAAATGAATGAGGAAAGAGAATTGAATTCATTTACAAAAGAAAAAAATCCAAAAGAATAGTAGACTTAAACTAAACTGTTAAAAAAAAGATTAGTAACATTAAAAAAACAAAACAACAATACAAAGTGTGTTATTAATAATATATCACTTATTAATATCAGTCTGAGTGCGTAACATTGCAGTACCTGTTTTTTTCTTTAGCTTTTTATTCCTTGTTAAAGTTCACAACAAAACAAATCAAGAGGCAACTTCCCTGTGTGTGTGTGTGTGTGTGTGTGTGTGTGTGTGTGTGTGTGTGTGTGTGTTTGTGTCTCCATGTGTGTATGTATGTCTCCACACGTAGCCTATGTGTGTTGATGGGAGAGGCCTATCCAAAGCACTATCCTTCAAACCCAGCGCTTCACTCAGGGGGGCTTGCAAGCTCAGGCATTACATAACACGGGGCGTCATGGCACGTCCTAACCTCTCACAATGAACAATCCCCCTTCCTGAGTTTATGTTTTGCCCCGAGGAGGAAGCAGGAGAGACCAAACAGACCTGTGGGGAAGTTTACAGATTTTTTGGGGGGAATCTATTACAAAACATTGTGTAAAAAGAGTTTCTGAGGCCATGGAATATTGTTCTCGTGGTTGGACATTTGGCTGAGTTGATATTTTTGTGGGAAGGGATTGTCACACACCCAGCTACTCTATGTGGAGATGAAAGAGGAATTCCAAAAAGGCCTGAATGACAGAGGGAAAGACAGGCAGGCAGGCTTTTTGCACACAAAGGGTTTTTATAGTTTTCTAAAACCAGAAAACAATCAAATGTGGCACATTGATTTAGAAACATAAAGACACTTTCGATATTTCTCTGTGCTTTGCTTTGAAAATTTCACAAAAACTTTAAATGCACATAACAGTACATCTTTAGAAGGATTTAACAGCTATTACACTATGCTACAATCCAAAATTCTCATTTCTGTAGCTAAACCTTTTCACATTTACAGCTAGTTAGAATCCAAAGTGTTCACTATATATCACCAAAGCCTGGTTAAAACATCTTGCTCCCACTTTAGGGACATGGAACATGCACCCCTGGCTGCATGAGTGGGCTATTTTAAGAGTTCTTACCATTTGATACCTAATGCACTTTGGCCTGATTTCTGCTACAGCTGGAGTGACTTCATTCAGACACTGAGGGGTGGTGTCTTGTCCGGAGCTCCAGAAATAACACCCCACCCCAGTGTAGTCGTACCCATCCCTAAATCAGTATTGGTTTTGTGTCAACTGGGCAGAACTAAGACACGAGGGAGGATGTGAATGCAGAGCTGATGGTATCAGTGGCACGAGGGCCAAACAGGAAACACTTCCCGTGGGTAAAACGCAACAGTTTTTTTTTTAAAGATGGTCAGAGCTGATTGTGAACGATGAGGGGCAAAAAAAAGAGTTGAGGGCATGAAAGAAATTGTGGAACGTGGAGAAGTAGATATTAACCAAAGGAGTGGGATGAAGACAGAAATACAGGGAAAGAAAAGAGACAGGCAGAGAGAGGGAGAATGAAAACGTGTAATCATATTCTGCCTGAGGCCGGCAGATTCCAGGCAAGAAGAAAATGTTTTCCTACGTGATCAAAGCCTGCGTGAGTAAACAATGAAAAACAGTTGAATCCTTATCAAAACACTGCACATCCAGTGCTTTGTGGAGAGCACATCCACACAGTCTATCCACCATTTCTCATGAGCTATACTGTACATTCAATATGTTGGCATGTTTTAAAAACCTGCACAAACAAAGAGGAAGTTTAGCACGGAAAATTTATACCAAACTTTGCAGGATATAACTGTGACAACCGTAGATGAAATACACTAGGCTGGACTTGTCAGTGATGATGTAATGAATGGAAAGCAGTTCCTTGTGTACTGTTGCAGAAACAGAGACTAAGTAAGGTCACTGAGTTGAACAGCTCGGTCAGCTGGTTTGTTGATCCAAACTTAGCAACATTACATCACTGCTGCAATGGTTTTGGGTCCATTAAACGTATTGTTGTTCCAGTACATTGTGTCACTGGTGTTACCTACCCGGGGCAATGCTGTCTGGATTTGGCACAATTGTTGTATTAGGTGTGTCAGATGGCACTTTAGGTGGTTGGTCGACACCCAAGTTGTTCTCGCCGCTGTGGCTGTCTGCGGCATTCCCATTCTCAGTTTGAGAAACCACTGTGTTCTAAAAGGAAGATGGAAGAGGTGAGTTGTGCTTAAAAGCAAAGTTAAAATGCAAAATTGTATCTGTTGTGATGGAAAGTTCATCCTTGGCTTCAGTAGTTGACTAAACAGTGTCACCACTTAATAGTTTTTCTCTTTGCCCATCTCAGCAGATGGAGTTGCCTAGTTGCCATGGAAATGGGGTGACCATTGTCTTTTTTCTTTTTTTGATTTTTGGCCACTTGGGGGCAGAGTTGTAACACAGCACTGACATAATACTTTTTGAATTGGCAAATTTGTTAGCAAACAGATGCACATTCAGCGAACACGGAGAAACATTAGTATTCATTTAGAGCCGTGTTTCTGGCCACCAGTCCATTCATAGCTGCCATTTTGTTCTGGGCAGGTAGGGTAGAGTGAGTTTATCAAAGCTGCCTGCTATTGCTGGAGACGACTGTGATGAGAGACTGAACCGAAAGAATAAAGTTGAGGGTTCAAAAACAAAACAAACAATAGAGATGTGAGAAATGCTCCATAGAGCCGAGGGGAACTGCAGACTACAAGCAATAGCTTTAACTTACAAGTAGTCGTTTTAATATGATTATTTATTATAGCAGTTTCAAGGATTTTTTATCCATGTTGGCTTAAAAAGACAAATGTGAGCAAACTCAGCTGAGGAAGATTGTGTGTTGAACCAAAAGCTCTGCTACCAACATAGAACAGAGATGTGCTCAGAAAAAATTAAAATTGACAGATACATTTCCATGACAACTGAGCGAACTAAGTGTGCTGAGGAAGATCGTATAATGTGATTGAAATCTCCAGAACAGCTATTAAGTGGACGTCATGGTGAGTTTGTTTTATCAACAGTTTCCTAACTCATGACACACTGAATTCTCTTTTGACAGATAAAAGATAAAATAATTGTCTGGCTTAAATAGATTTATTGAATTGAAATGAAAAAATGTGATTTGCATGCACAGTAAATTAGTGGAACAAAGTTTTCGGCTTTTATATGTTGCTATTTTCACAAACCTCAATTTTACATGTTTTCCAACAACGGCAACAATAAACAGAGAAACTGTCTGTGTCCTCTCTTGCAGTTAACATTAGAAACATTGTTTCATGTGCTAAAAAAAAAGGACTGCAGCCCAAGCAACCAGCTTTCATCCCTCTGAAAGATATTTATGATGATTTACTCCAGGACTTCCTCAGGAAATGTTGACAATTTGAAACAAAATCCCTCCATTGCCCCGAGCAATAAACAAACCAGAGATATGTGAGTCCTTCTCACTTCAAAGATAAGGGGAAAAACTTCCCTGGAGCATAATAATTATTTTATCTACGGACTTCAAGAGGGCAATGAAAAGCACACAAGGGCACCACACAACTAAATGAAAGAGGATATAACTAGAGCTGCTAATTAATGAGATATAACAAAGAGAAACTTTGTTTGTTTATCTTGATTAAATTTTACAGAGAGCTTTTGTACATAAATTGCTTTATGTGTGACCAGGTCAGGCTAAGATAGGTACGGCTAGGGGAAAGAAAATGCTGACTTGGCACACTGCCCATCCATGCACAAAGGGACATTAATAAAGCTACTTATGAAAGACTTTCATAACTACTATTCTGTGCAGGCCCATGTCTGTAGCACGAGTCAAATAAACACTTCAAGTGCTTAATCTTTCCCACATATACTTTGTCGGGATGTAAGGTATTGTGCAAATGTTTTTCATGCGATGGAGGGAAAAGATGTGGTGAAAATGGATGACTGTGCATGACGAAAACACACTCTGGCAGTGTGACAGTGTTACAATAAGCCGTTTATCAAAGTGTATTTAATGGCTGGCTGTATCCATATCAATGTACAGTAAATGTATCCGTATATATAAAAAAAAAAAACACATTTTGGGAAATATAATTTTTTGTATTCTTGCTGAGAATTAGATTGCTTTTACTCTCATGTCTATTTGCTAAGTATGGGGCTGGAGCAAGGAGACGATTAGCTTAGCATAAAGACTGGGGAAATTGGGGGAAACCTGCCAAGCTGCCTAAAAAAAACTAATATATCCATACAAACATAAAAGTGTTATGTAGTTCTACCTATAGGGATGACACAATCCAAGCTGTCAGCTAAGGAATAGGCCAGTCCAGGAAATAACCGCCTATAAAAACCACAACTTGTTGTTTATACAATTTTTTGTAAGGATTAAACAAAAGAGAAAAAACATGTTTTCGAAGACCTTTTTAGGGGTGTTAGTAGATGAAATGTTTTGACTTCCGGACAGAGCCGTGGCAAGCTGTTTCCCCCTGCGTCCTTTATGCTAAGCTAAGCCAACCACCTCCTCCTGGCTCCAGCTCCATAGTTAACGTACAGACTTGTGAGTGGTTTTGAGGTTCTCATCGAATTCTTGCCAAGAAAGCGATTCAGTGTATTTCCTCACATTGTTTCCAACTCCTTTAACTAACAATTTAGACAGAATTGACTTGATAAGATGCAATGGTTTTTGCGCTGTACATGTTCATCGATGCATGGTTATTACATCACAGTTCCTGCTTACATTGAGCTGCTTGTTGTTTTCATTCTGGATGCTCTCAAAAGTGTATTTTTCAGAGCGTCTCTGGCGCATTTTGAAGAGACGGGAGCCACGGTTTGAGGCAAAAGACAGCTCCTCCAGCATGATGTCCTTAGGCACGCTCACTTTCTTCCCAAGATCCATCTCTATATCTGGACACAAGGAGACAAACACAAGACTTAAGATCTTGTGTATACAATATATACTTGTAAATTGATCTGATTTCTGACAAGACAATTTATTTTCTGACAAGAGAATTTAATTTTCCTATATACTCCCATCTATCAAACCTCGTTGAACACATTATATTCACACAGAGAAAAAGCCCTCTGCATGGACTGATGTCTTGGTATTCCTGCCAATATTATGTATGAGGAATTATCTTTGCTCGTAATCCACTCATGTCCAGTGCTTGTTTTGTGGTTAGCGCTGCGTGCTAGCTACTGCATGCTGATCATGGAGATGTCACAGGCCTATATCCAAGTGTGAGTCGCATAATTTGCCAGAATATCTTTCAGCTGTCAGTAGCCTTCAGGCCCTCCCTATCCCAGCCACACAGTTGTCCTCGCCCTGAAATAGCGTGTTCAAAGGACAACGACAAAGGGATTAGTTTCTTTGGCCCATAAAAGTATTCATTTGCTTATTTATAGTCAGTGCGGTAGAGGGGAGGGTTGGCAACTGCCGCTGTAGCAAATGGTGGGCTCATACCTTATATAAAGTGAATGTGGCAGTGTCCAGTGCATGATGAGCTGGTGTTTACAGTAACTGTAATAAGCCTGAGAATCAAATGTGTACTGTAAGATATGGTGTTAAATCCTCGTCTATGACGTGTGATAAAAAAGTGAATGTAGAGAGGTGAAAGGAGCAGGATGTGAAGAGAAGGAGAGAAGGTGAGATGGAAACAGAAGCAAAGAAAGGATGCAACAAAAGAAAGAAGGAGAAACTGAGTGGTCATAGGGATCAGAAAACAAGGAAGTGGAGGGGAAATCATACGGCTACCTTCCTGGGCTTGAACCTCCCTGCAGATTGCTGCTGCCTGCATTTTCCTGTCCCTTGTCGTCATGGTGGAGAACTGTGACATGGCTGCCCCTGGGGAGTCAGGGGTGAGGCAAAAAGTCACAGGAGACAGTGCACATCAGTACAACCTGTTCAAACATACAATAAGACACAAAGGCAAAACAACGCGACTGCATGTTGGCTATTGATTGGCCAACATCAAGCATCCATACTACGCACAAAGACCCACTGAAGCAGATAGAATTTATTGGGGCAGTGAAAAGGGCAAAGTTAGCACATCCCTTTAAATAACCTTGGGCTGTTAAACGCCAAGCACATGCTCTTCAGACATGGCAACCAGCTGTGTCAGGGGTCTGGGAATCAATATGTTTGAAATTACCCAAGTGGGCTGAAAGGACACAGATAGAGAACATGGTGCTGTCACGGCAAACACGTGAGACAGCAGATGTAATAGCGCAGCAGAAAGTTTACACCAAGGTGTCAGTGAACACGACACAAACGTTTCATTCCAGGCCAAAATACTTTTCACAAAGTTTCTGGATGGAACAAAGGAGCATTTCATAGCAAATGGCAAATGTCTTTTCTGCACGAAAATCACTCTATCATTTGGAAATCACTGGTTTTGACTGAGTAGATAAAATGTGCACAAAGTTACATTCTTATCTGTATATATGTATTGTAGCAAAGCACATTTTGGAATGTATGCATACATGCTACTATTAAGGATATGCTTTGTGTAAAAACTTCAGGAAATTAGTAAAAAAAAGCAGATGCATTTTTCAAAAATGTAAAAAAAAAATAATTAAAGAAAATTCTGGAATTAAATTCAACTGTAACACGAGGCAAGCTGTGTGATTGACAGAGAAATATAGAGGGAACAACGGTAGGTGGTAGTGAGAGTCATGCTTGATTCCAAGTGCAAGTGTCATGTTAGACCAGGACAGAACACCTGTGGAGAGCCCTAGTGATGACTTACCTGTCCTGAAGGACCCTCAGGGAGGGGGTCTCCTGTTGTGCCTGTCTCCTCGGGGTAGGAATTCAGAAAGGTGAGAGGCAAGAAGGTCAGACTGGGTAGTGCAACCTGTGTGGGTGCTTGTGCTCCCCGGCACTGGTGCTTGTCGTGGGAGGAGGGGGTTGCAGCCTGACCTGCCTGGCTGAGTGACTGAATGGGTGGGCGGGTGGGTGGGTGTCAGTTTGTCTGTTGTCATTGGTATTTAGTTCACAAGCAGAGGGGAGACTAAATTTAGAGTGCTGTCACTACTGCTTGCTTTTCCCTCCATCTCTCTCTCTCTCTCTCTCTCTCTCTCTCTCTCTCTCTCTCTGCTAGTGGTATTACAGTAGCTCAGGTCTATAAGAGTGATTCCAAAACAGGGGTTCTTCTTCTTACTAGTTAGTAAGCCAGCAGAAACAGTTATAAGTTACAATAGTTAAAAGCAGGGGATACAAGGTTGAAATAGTTAAAGAGAAATGGCTGAAATGGATATATGGTTCTAATTTATAAAAGTAGCCATAAGATTAATGGTTGAAAAAATATATAGCTGGAATAGACTTAATGGATAAATAGTTGAAGTAGGTCAAAAGTAAGTTAATGGAAATAGAGATATAGATAGCTTAAAATATAAACAGTTGGAATGGATAGCTGAAAGTAATGGATAAGCAGTTTGCTAAAAGTAAGTGATAAATGGTTGAAATAACTTAAAGTGATAGAGAAATGATTGAAATTGTTATTTAAAAATAATGGGTAAATGATTGAAATAGCAAAAAGAAATGGATATGTGGTTCTAATCCATAAAAGTAGCTGTTAGATGAATAGTTGAAAAAAAAAGCTAAAAAGATATAGCTGGAATAGACTAGAAATGGTTGAAATAGCTAAAACTAATGGATAACAAGTTATGATAGTTATCTAAAAGGAACTGATAAATGGTTATAGTGGTAATAGTAATGCATAAATGGTTGAAACATCCATCTTTTGCAAGTCCAAGTGGCAGTGAAACCTAAATATTACATCATCTGTATACAAAAAATATTGATCCATTATTATATCAAATCATTGGAAATTTTCATATTTGGAACATGATGGGTGTTGTTAATGAAGGGACTTGGTTAACAATATTTCACCTATACAATAATCAATAATCTGTTGCAATCTTGCAACAATGAAAATATACATGAATTGTAAAGCACAAAAGGGATCAAAACTGTCTCAGAAAACCCTGACAATGCTTTAACAACTAAAATAAAGTTGTGTCAGCTGCAATTCTCTTTATCTGCACTCAAGAATTGCAGTGCACAGCCAACAATAAATATACTCAGTGACATCCACCGTGGGAACATGGCTCCCTCAGGGCCTGCAGAACAATCAAATACTATTTGTTTTAAATGCCATCATGTTATATAGTAGGGAGCAAGGCCTAATAGGGTTCACTCACCTTATAATCCAGTCAGTATGTTTTAATTGACCTTGCAAAGTTAGATTTGCCATCTATATATTTCTTAACTTGGTAAAAGAGACTAATAAAGAAAGACAGGTTGAGTTTGCAGAACCAAGCGGGGCAGGAAAGCATAAGGTTGGATGTTAAAAGCAGCAAGTTCATTGGCATACTGTAATGCCTGTTATATAGAAAACTATGCCAGGAGCCCCATACACAAAATGAAATATTTTAAAGGTGTGTGTTGTGTTTAATGCTTGTTCATACTTTGAGTCAAGCTCCACCCTTTTTAATAAGATTTGAATCCCGCACAGCATTTTCAAAATCTAAATTGGTATAGAAATAATTTCTGTTTATCATCTCCCTCTGTGTCCTCATTCTCTAATGGTTCAGCTACAGTAGGTACCCACTGTTATTATGTAACTGGTGGTCACCATGGGAACAAGTCCCCACCAACCCCTCCCCTGGATACAAAGCGAGTGACTATTCCAGACAACACATCATACAAAAAGCTTCATGGGATGGTACAGCAAACAACAAATGGCCCACAGCCAAGTATTTCATGCTTGGAACACAGCAAAGAGCACAAAAACACAGTGCAATTTGTAAAATAGTGTTATTTGTCTGTATTTATTTTCATTTACCCTTTATTTGAATCCATATCTGAATTAGTTTGGAAAAGAAATTGATTACTGGTATTGTATTGTTACCATAATAAGCAATACAGTGTAATTATCACAGATACACTATTGTATGATGCTCAGTGAGGCAGCTGAGACACAACACAATGCTGTGTGATAAATCTTATTTATGTTTATGAGACTGCTTGGTGAGAATCACATTAGGACATTATGTACGCTCTGTGGAAACACCAACATTGCTTTTATCTTTGGAGATGATTACAAGTTTATAGCAAAATCCCAAACCAAGCACAAGCCACAAACCCATTACATACTGTAAGCAATTCTCCCAGTGTCAGTAAACCTATCATAAACTAAAACAATCTTTTTTTGTAGCCGTAATTAGGACATTCCTCAAGTTATCTTTTACCCCCAACTAAACCCCATTTTCCATCTACATACTGTGTGCTGCAATGTGACAAATCATTCCAGATTCCTAAAGAAAAGGTCTTGGAAAACTGTAACGGGAGAAAAGATGTCCTAGTTTCTGCTTCTCATCTTCTCCCTCTCTCTGAGTAGTTAATGGCCACATGCTAATGCGCTAATTAAAATGCACCTGGTAAATACGTGAATTAATCTCACTTATTAGAGCTTACATAACGACATGTCCGCCCACAACATTCTGAGTTATAGCACTAACCTTTCTCCAAGTTTTAAGCCTCACTTCTAATGCATCTCTAATTGTATTCTGACAGTGAAACGAGTTCTCCACCACACTCAAGTTTCACGGATTAAAAATCAAACAAAACCATCCAAAAATAAGTGCACCATCACTGCAAGAACCAGCATGCTAGATACATACATCCACAGCAGAAAATTTAAAAAGTATGAACAGAAACTCCATCCACAAGCTGACAACAATTCAAGAGGTAAAGCAACTTATATACTATATGATGGGTAGGTCACTGCTTCTTTCTCTCTTTCAGTATCCTCACATATCTCTTTTCTCAGGACCCCATAATCACCTATTTTGTATATTCTGAGAGGTTCACTGAACAGTCAACATTTATAGTTATCTCCAGATATACGGTTACGATACAATCCTTCAAATCTCTCCACTTATTTTGTACCAAACATGTCCATTCAGATCTATTATATCCATTCTAAACAACATACTCATTGCCTCATCTAATGAATAACAGGCCCACTTCAGTGTATTAACCAAGCTCAAAAGTTGTCAGTTAAATGTTAATGGTATAATGTCTCCATACATTGTTGAAGTAATCATCTATTTTCACATTTGATTATGGCATGCATAGATTTCATCTAAAATATTTTATATTAAAGATTCAACATCAAAAAGTACAAAGCATGTTTTTAAAACGCTGTTAGCATGTCAAAACCAGGAGAAATCCAGCAATCTTTCCAAATGTCCACTTCATCATACATTAGCTCACTCTCCTCACACACCATATTGTTGTTATTGTTATAGGAAATGCTCTAACTGCACTTGAATCTGTTATAAAATCAGTAAGTAATAGGATTTTACTCATTTAAGGTCACACAGGTTGACTCCTACCGCTTCCAACTCCAAGTGTTGCTGGTGTACACAGACTTGTAAGCTTGCTTCCCCATGGGCCTCTTGTGCTCAGAGTAGGAAACTGAGGGGCCCAGATTTGCCTCTGCCACAGACCTCTGAGGCTGCCACTGTCTGGGTAGAGACCTGTAACCAGCATGACTGGCAGGAGTGGAGACAATGCTCCGTGTTGGGGACACAAATGATGGTAGTGGAGCTCGACTATAACTGCGGCTTTGGCTCTGACTCCAGGTGTGGCTGCCTGTTTTCTGCGGGGCTTGGTAAGAAACCTTGGCCTTCCACTCTGCTGGGGGCTCGGGCAGCATTTTGCGCTGGGCTGCCAGGCGGACGTTTGAGGCGAGGGTTTGCTGGAGGTTCTGGAAAGCAAATGCTTCATCCACCAGGCCCATTGGATGCCGAGAGGCAGCCTCCCAGGGCGTAGGGGGTTTGTGGCCCTTCTCCAGCCAGGAGGTCTGCCTTGCTAAGGGAGATGAGAAGCCCCGAGCTGGAGGCTTTGGGGAGGAAGAAGCCGAAGCTGACTTCTGGCCCGTGGATGGTACTCTGGCTGATGGGGAGAGGGAGTAGCTCCTGCCAAGTGCCTGTAAAGAAAGATCCAGACATATTTATTTTAGTAAGGGCTCATTTTTGTTTGGCTGACCAGCCGTCTGGCCAAATCAAATCAGCTTGGAAAATGTTGGAAGATAGAGTAGCTCTTTGTCAACACATTTCTTTTAAGTACTGTAATTCTCTAATGTTGTATTTCATGTTAAAAATATTTGTTTGTTTTATTCTTTATGTAAAACCATAAAAGTCAGAAAAATTCACTATCATTAAAGCTCTGTTAAACTTTTTCTTTTAAACTTATTGTGTTAGTCTCCTCAACCCAGTGCTTTAGCATTTGTCCAAACTGAGTGAACTGCCATTTTATTTCTTAGAACAACTGGTTTATGAGAGTGCCTGGGCTTCCCACAGTAAGCCACATTCAGCCACATTCAGCTTGTTATCATTCGATCTGCTTTACTAGACAGCAACACATTGAAAGTATGACGGTGAAACTGCTAAATGCTCAATACTAAAATCTCCATTAGGGTGCCTAGACAGCCATGGGTTATGTGGGGTGACAAAGCACCTCTGTACCATTCATTGACTCTGACATTACAGACATGCAGAAAAGGCAGTGCTGCCATCATCTGGTGAAAGATGGGTAAGATCAGCAGATGGGAATAGGTGGCAAAAATGAAAGCACAGAATAGAGGAAAGTGCAGTAATAAAAAAAAAGAAAAGAAAAATGCAGCTGAATGAGTCAAGGGGGAATAAATTATCTGCTGACTCAGGTATCTGGTAGGCCTAAAATGCATGTGGCAGCGTTATCCTGGATTAAGGCAGACACAAGAACGTATGAGTAGTAGACAATCTAAGGTCATATTTTCATGGAGTAGATTGTGACTATATATTTGCCTCACATTGTTTATGTCTATTATCTAGCTGTCATTCTGCAGAACATATATCTCAGAAATGGGGCCTGAGCAGGTTCTAAGAGTTGGTGTCCATTATAATGTGCATGCACAGGCTTCTTTTTGGAGACAAGTGTTCAAAATAGTCTACATATACAGTGTTACATAAGGTTTTCTTTGGGGTTTCTGGTCAAAGTATATTTGAGAGCAAAAATCTTGGACATTAATCTATATGTAGAAAATGAAAATTAGACCACATCAGAGCACACTGAAAATCAAGTATGGCTGATATAAAGGCGCATGTGCAATCAACCAATTAGGTGATGGGGGTCAACTCTTGCCATCTGAGTAGGAATCAAATTCCTCCAGCTAGAGCTACAGAAATCTGCCAACTTAAGACACCATTTGATATTAAATGTCCACTTAACAAATAACTGCCCTTTGAGAAAATGCATGACACAACATGGATATACATTTCAGCGAGGGCCACTCACTTGACCTCCAGATTTATCCAGTGAGCTCGCCTGTCTTCAGTGAGGTCACCAATCTAATAATACCCTTCATAAATGCATCATCAGGTAGTCATTCTGTAGGAATGTGTTTCTCAAGCATTCACATCAATTGTTGTAAAAGTAGTTGATTTGGATAATGAGATGTTTTTGGCTGATGTTAGCAAGCTCTTTATTGAGTACAAATTGTATTCTGTTTTATTATTAAAAACTGATTTATTTTGAACCACTGCAAACATTAAGTGAACATGTGTGTCTAATATGATGGTAAATTACATAGAAATGGATTGATTTGTGGCTGAAATGCTTATCTCTTAGAATAACCTAAAGTTATAAAGTAATTATTTATAGTACAGGTGGAGAAAAGGTTTAAATTCAGTGAGATGAAAAGAAAAGAGACTAGAAATAGAAGAAACCAAAGGCATGCTTAAAGGACAAAATAAAGGAAAGCCAAACAAGGATAAAAGACATTTTAATGGCACTGCAGTGAATCATACAGAAAGTGCACTATGAAGAGAAACACACAAAAGAAAAGGAAAAAGAAAATGAAGAACAAAAGCAGCCCTGTACCAAAAATATATTTGTGAACATTACCAGGCTGGTTATCCCTTCAGTAAATCATCTTTTGTTAATCATTTATCATCTAGTCATATAAAATAAAAGCAGAAAAAGATGCACGGAAGAGTGAAACTGCTAGAGTGGGCAATACTTTATATTTTTCTGTTATCAGAAAAAATACTACGAGGGCCTGAGATATAGTTGCGGTCATTGGCTTAAATTGAAATTTAAGTCTACTATCGCTGCACCTCAGCACTCCCTCCCTTGAGGCAGTTTAAATATAGCATCTAACATGATGCAACAGCTGGTAAAAATCTTAAAATAAAATTAACCCCTTAAGTAGGTGCTATAGAAAAGACACTGGGGAAAGCCACTGAAGAATAAATTGTTCACGATTCAAACACTTGAAGTTCAAGCAAGTGACAGTGTTCTTTGTCACTTTTTGTCAGGCGTATTGCTGTAGTCCCCAGCATTTACTTGAAACCCCACAGAGTTGTGACATAATCTCTGCAGTTATGACATCACTGACACTGCAAATTTAGCCTTCTGCTTGGTATCATTACACACCCCAGACCCCACCCCTCTCCCTCACTACTTTACTTTTATTTTTACTTTATTCATAGAATTTTTTTAATTTAGCTTTATTGTATATATAGGTTGTTTATCAAATAAGATTAGCCACATTTAGCAGTTTCCTCTTTCCAAAAATCAACTTCCTCTTGTCACTGTTTGCTTCTGATTGCTTTTTTCTCTCACTCCTTCCTTTCAATTCTTACTTAGCATCACGCTCCCCTACATTCTTATATTGCCACCGCTTTAGATTCTTCCTCATAAAATTACATTAATTTATGGTGGAAGTTTCCATGTGCATCATTTTCTGTGAACATGTCAAAATGCACATGCTTCTTAACTCATTTGTGTCTGATAAAATATACTTACAGTTGGTTCTTATTCTTATGTTCTTAATTTGTAATGACATTCACATTAGTTTTCAAAATTCTGAAAACCATCTAGCTCTGTGCTATGACAATAACAAGAGCAAGTAGAGGTGACAGTAGTCATTGCAAAAGCAAGTTTATATGCTCAAAATAGTCCACTTGGCTGTGGACTACAAGAGCACCAACCCCTTGGCTCAAGCAGACACTAAGCAGCTCATGAATCTACCAGAATCACTCTTTATCAACTGCTGTAGGCTTCCACACCTGAGCTGAGCTCTTTTTAGCTGTAAATTTAGGTTTAGGAGCAGCTACAGGGTTGCCACCTGATGCAGATTCTGGTCTTGCAGCTACAGGAAAACTAGGAACAACATAGCTACTGGGAGGCGGTGGCTGGTAAGGTACTGAGGGAGTTGCCAGGTAGGGAGGGCTATTGGCTGGTTGGTAAGGGGCTTGAGGTGCCTGTTGGTAGGGAGAGTTTGGAGACTGAGGAGCTTGGGGATGATAAGCAGGTGGGGCAGGTTGCTGATACTGTTGGTTATATGCCTGCTGGTATGGACCACCAGCAGCTTGTTGATAAGGGTTGGAGGGAGGATAAATATTAGCTGGGTTTTGCTGGTAGTTGCCATCATGCATCATAGGCTGCATGGGCATCCCATAAGATTGATGGGGGTATGGGGCATTAAATGGTCCACCTGGCTGGATGGGGGCCATTTGCTCATATCTAATTGGTTGGTTTTCGACAGGAGGGTTAGGAGGTGGACATTCGGGTTGAGGTGCAGGGGGCTTGGCCGCCTCTGCTGATGGGCCAAAGGTAAAGAGTGCGGAACTGAGTTGATAAGGTTGATGCTTCATAACATCTATAACATTAAGGGGTTTAGGGGCAGGCTTTTGCTCCCCTTTGCCTTTTTTCTTGGCTTTGTTTGAAGGGACACTTGGAGGCGGTTGTTTTGTTGCTGCTGGAGGATAAGAAGGGGATTGAATAGGATTATATGCCCGTGAAGGTGGAGCACGTACATTGGGTGTATATTTCCACTCGTTTGGTAAGGAAGCAACTGGCGATGTTGGCCGGCTGGCTTTGTTTGCTTGAACAGTCTCAGAGTCCACAACAAACTTCTCCATACGAGATTGCCTCTTGGCAAACATATCAGCTCCTTTCCCTTTGACTGCTGGCATCTCAAACGCTGAACCTTGGGATGATGGGTTTAAGACAGTGGCCATTGGGTTGATGGGTGATAAAGCTCTTTGACCAATGGTAAAAGACTGCATTCGCGGTGGAGGAGGTGGAGGGGTCCGGTTTTGTGGGGCATTTTGTGGTGGATGCCAAGGTTTTGGAGAGGGACGAGTGTTAACCATTGACGGGGAAACATTCACAGGTGTTTGCTGTGATTGTGGTGCCCAGGTATTAACAGGTGTCTGAGGTTGTGTCTGAGCTGAAGGCCATGTATTTATTGGTGGCTGTGATGGAGTCTTTGAAGTCGACTGTTGCCAGTTTGGCTGTGGTGTGGACTGGGGTGGAACTGTTTGAGCCCAAGGTGGTTGATGTTGGGCCTGATTTTGCTCTTGGGCCCAAGAACCCATGGGGTGCTGACCATGTTCCGAAGGGTGCTGGGCCCATGAGGGTTGGGACTGAGCCTGGGTAGGCACTGGCGCCCATGGATTTAAATTGGCTTGGGGCTGTGGCTGAGGTTGTGCTTGGGCTGCTTGGATCCAAGGTGGCTGAACCTGGGCTTGAGTTTGTGATGGAGACCATACATTAATTGAGGGTTGCTGTTGCTGCTGGGGCTGAGCTGAGACCCAAGGTGGTTGTGGCTGACCTTGTGCTTGGGCCTGTGGCCATGCTTGCTGTAGAGCCTGGTGTTGTGGTTGCTGAACCCATGGTGGTTGTTGCTGGGATTCTGGCTGAACCTGTTGAACCCAAGGAGGTTGTGCTTGGGAATTTTGCTGGGGTTGTTGCACCCATGGTGGTTGATGCTGAGAGTCTGTTTGTGATGGCTGTACCCATGGGGGCTGGGGCTGCTGTTGCATTGGTTCTTGAGGTTGAACCCAAGTTGGTTGCATCTGCTGCAGATTTGGCTGCTCATGAGAGTGTGTCCAGGGTGGCTGAACCTGTGGCTGAACCTGTAACTGCTCTTGAGGCTGGGCCCAGGATTGCTGAGCATGTGTCTGGGCTTGTGCCTGCTCTTGACTCCAAGATGGCTGAATTTGAGGCGTCCAAGTATTTGTCGAGGTTTGAGGCTGTGCTTGGGTCTGAGTAGGCTGACGTGTCACCCAAGGTGGCTGTGTTGGGGACTGACTTGGACGTGGTTCCTGGGGCTGCACTTGAGCTGGATGCCAAGAATTAGTTGGTGGCTGTTGTGCTTGTGTTTGTGCTGCAGCCCAGTTAGTCACAGGAGCAGGCTCTGGCTGCAGGCTAGAATTCATATGACCATTTTCATCTTGAGCTGTCACTTGCAGAGGCTGTTGTTGAGATTCAGGCTCTGGGGGAGTCCATGTGTGCTGTTCCTTTGTGGTTGTGCTGGCAGGAGCCTCCTGAGGGGCAGGAGGGGGGGAGGGCTCAGGGGCAGGTGCAGGGGTTGGCTCTAGTTCAGGAGCAGAGGCACTCTCTGTGGTGGGGGCTGCAGCAGGTGTGGATACACTATTTTCAGCTTGTTGAGGCATGTCCTGGTTGGTCTCTTCTATCTGTGGGGACCAAGGAGGAGAGTTGGGATTGATCATAGGCTTTGGAGCCACTGGTGGTGGAATCTTGTGTTTAACTGAAGCCTGGAGAAAATTACAAGCCTCAGCCCCAAGGCTAAGGTAGTCTTCCTCAGGTCCTGACTCAAAACCCAACTTCTTATCACTCCTGTTGAGAAGGTTTAGCAATACTGGGTTCGGTGACACTTTTGGTGCTTCCTTAAAAGTGAACATAGGTTTGCCAGTGTTTCTTTTCCTTGCATCCATCAAAAGGCCAGTCTTAATTGCAGGGGTAGAAATGCGCTCATCGCGGGAAGCTATCTGCTCTCCTTGGCCCACGGAATCTTGATTGGTCCCACTCATTGCGGGAGAATAAGGGGTAGCCGCCATGTTTTCTGCTGAGAAAGGCTTTGCAGTACTATTGTTGAAAGAACTCTGCATTTCACTGGTTTGATGTTGGACTGTGCCATTGATGTTTGTAGAATAGTGCTGCATTTGCTGTTGCTCTTGATATTCTTGCTGCTGCTGCTGCTGATACATTTGCTGTTGTTGATAATGTTGTTGTTCATACTGCTGCTGCTGATACTGTTGTTGGTATTGTTGTTGTTGGTAGTTCTGTTGTTGCGCATAGTACTGCTGCTCCTGATATTGCTGGTACTGTTGTTGCTGTTGGCTTTGTTGGTGTATATTTACATCCATGTAAGCATGGCCCTCTGTTGTGGACTGCATGTAGGAGTGTTCCGCTATCTTCTTTTCAGCCTCCGGCACCCCTTCCACTGGCATCCCGTGGCGCCTAAGCTCCTCATGTTCAGCAGAAATCTCATCCATTCTCTGACGCCGTTGAGCAAACATTAGGGCACCCTTTCCCTTGGTTTCAGGCAAACATTCCATCTCTGCTTGGTTGTTCAGGTTCCTTTCAATTTCAAGGAGACCCTTGTCCCAGTTGATGGTTAGCACACCTTTGCTACTATGGGCATTAGTAAGGAAATGCTTGTCAGAATCACTAGGAGCCAGAAGGGTAAATTCAACAGTGTGGGTTTCTTGTTTGTCGTCTTCGTTTTCCTCGTCTTCGTCGCTGTACTCTGGTTCGTCTTCTCCTGTGCCGTAGCTTACAAGTGTGTATTTCTTGGCCCTCTGCCGATGTTTCTTGAACATCAACACCCCCTTGTTGTTGGGGTTGGGTGGAGCAGCCGTAAGAAGGAGAGCAATACGTTTACATTTGGACTTGGCCTCTTTCACCTGCTTCTCAGAGAGACTCTCGCTACGCCTGAGCCCTGTATTGAGAAGGAAAAGAGAGAGTTCAGTGTTTAAAATAAAGGGTCATTGACAGGGTAATCAAAATAATCTCTTGGGTGGATTGCATGTTAAATTATAGGTATTAATAACATACAATGGAATAAAGATCAACTCAAACTTTTTCATCTGTTAAGAGTATATTTTGGAAAAAAAATTCAATTCTTAAATAGCTTGATTTCCTGTGTTATTAGTTTGTTTGTACTTTTCAGCTCTTTGATCGGTTTCCGCATTCAACATGTAATTGACAAAATAGCTCTAAATTATGAATTTATTTATATATTTTCTTTATAATATGCACCCTGAATATCAGTTGAAAAATCAAATTATATTTTACCATATAAACCCCATTTTGGTTCACATCATCTAAAAAGTAAAAATAGAGCTTGCACAAATAACATGTTGATAGATCAGGTTTTAAAAATAAATCAAGTTTTAAAAAAAAGTTAAGCAAGGCACAAAGCAATTCCTTTGAGATTGTAACTTTACACTGATACTGACCTTCTGCAAAAAATACATTTTAAAAATATCTCCCATGTTCTCAGTAAAAGCAGAAGCAGAAATGACAACAGACTAATAAATGGTTAATACTATATGCACTGTTTAGCTGATTTGAACACACAACAAATATTCTGTAAACTAAATTATTATCCACATATAGCTAGGTACTTTTCCTCATTTGTGATTGTATTACTCCAAATTAGCTATTCAGTTGAACATAAAACATCAACCCATAAAGCAATTATTAAATTCTCTGACCCATGTCTAATATCCTCATTTGTTCACAGACAATGAACCACATTAAAACAGTTCATCCATAAAGTAGCCAGGAATAGGAACTGAGAAAGATTAAAGATAGCCTTCATGCAATAAATCCACCAGGACCAGAGCGTCTTTACCAGTCCTTATCTGTAAGTTCGAAAGCTGTCCACTTACAATCTTCTGTTCTCAAATCTGTTACATTTTTCTGATACTTTGACCAACAGACAACACACGACAAACCCACTCTCAAATTATCCAACAATGCAAGTCAGTAATAAAATAATACGTAGGTTTAGTTTTTTATATTCCTGCAAGACTAACCTGAAGGTGGAGGGACAGCGGGAGTGAGCAACGGACTCACTTTTTTAGCTCAGTTAAAGCACTCAGTTTGAAAGGATCAGGTAACGGGCTGGGGGAGCACATGCTCGTGTCTGTCAAAGGACCACTTCTGCAGGCATCATCAGCGTGCTGGTGTTATATTTATGTCTTCAACACAGCTCTGAGGAACGTTTAAGTATCCATATTCATGATCAAACCTCTTCAAAGGGATAGTTTAATGTATTTTATATTGGGTAGTGGCTTTCAACACATGATCAATGTCTTTTTGAATTTTATATATTATATTTAAAACTTGTTGACTTTCAACATCCTATTTGCACTATGCTCCTTACTATCGCTTTGATTCTGTTTAGGTTTGACCCGGATGTATCTGCTTCCATTCAAAGGAATGAGCACCCTCCTCCAACTGCAGTGACAGACACATGCTATTTTAAGGGGTACACACACTGGACATCAGGGTTTGGAATGCACATGTGTTGTTGACAAATGCAATTCAGTGTTAACCTATTAGCTTGCAGATTCCCCTTTAAAGAATAGATCCTTATTACCCATACACTCACACACACAAAGAAGGAATGCAGACAGAGACATTACTCCAGTGTACAAATGTTAATGGTCCATAGGTACTTACTGGCGTGTTTTGCCCGATGCTTGTTGGGTTTGTCTTGATCCCCCTCAGAACCAGAGTCCTGCTCTTCTGCTGCTGCCGCCTCTTCTGAGGGAATTCCAAATGAGACAGTATAAGACCCAGGAACTACCTCACAGTGCCCTCCGCCTTCTTCTCCTTCGCTTTGGGATCCAACACTTCCACTGACCCTGGGGCCACCCACACTCAGGATGCCCCTCCCTGCTCCTGATGCTGCTGGTTGCTGCAAAATGACCTCCACCTGCCCCAGCATCGAAGGAGAGCTGAGCACCACTCCGTGCTGTCCGAGCGGCTCTCTGACAGAGCACGGCACATAGTGTGTTGTGGTGGTTTTGTGGATTGTCTCAACAGATTCTCTGTTTGAGAGTTCTCCCTGGATCCCAAGAGCACTCCCAAGAGAGGTGCAGCCCACATCGTCCAATGTTTGCTCAGAAAGGGACACCTGGAGCTCGACCATGTCCCCTGGGGAGAAGCACTGCCGTACTTCTTCATCATTTTCTTTAAAAAAAGGCTCCTGGCCTCTCCGATCACCAGATGAGGGTAGATGTAGCTGGGTGCAAAGCAGCTGGGGTCCCTTGGGAAACACTGTGTCACTATCTGACTCCCCATAGTAGGCTTCGTCCTGGGATTCAGATATGTACAGCTCCCTTGGGCTTTGGGACCTGTGCTTTGGGGAGAAGATATGGAGGGTGGTGCTCTCTGAAGCTGTACCAGAGCAGTCCCTCTGACCACAGTATGTCTCTTCTGATTCATAGAGTTCTGGGGGAGTAGTGCAGTATCTTTAAGAGGACAGAGAACAGGAATGAGTGAGGTGCAGGTTTTATTCTTTTAAGAACCACTTTTGATCATTAACATAAATAAGAGACATTGCTACACCTTATATTGTTTGTTTTTTGAACAGTCAATGGGTTTTGAAGTGAATTTCAGACAAAAACAAAATGTCTATGCAGCGGTCTATGTTTTGCTCATTAAATTACTTTGCATTACATTACATATCATTGCAATGAGCAATACATCATCACTGTGGAATGGAGCTATTGGATAGTTGAGGAAGTAAAAGCTGACATAAGCTGAGGTCATCTGCTCTCCAAGTCTACAGAGACAATAGCCTATAATCATGCAGTCATAGAAACAATTTTAATACAAATCCTGTCCTGTACTTATTGTCCTGCCACAAATAACATGAATTTAAATCAGATAATAACTAGATTCAAGAACAAGATTCAACTTTAATATGCCTTCAAAACAACTGTAAATCCCTCTGCAGTTTAAATGTGGGCACATTAAGGCGCATGCAGCAATATTTGAGGACACGTCAACCTGATAAACACACTGGCAGTACCCACTGAGTAATGGCAGAGCAGCTGCATGTCAATCAAGACACACAAATCTGTAATACATTGGTCAAGTTGGTTGGAAGGTCAGCATGGCTGACACACACATTAACTCACTGAGACACACACAGACATGAATGCACATATATACACAGACAGTCAGTGGTTCGCTGACACTATGCAAAAGGGCACAGGTCATAAAACAACATGCTATCTAAATGCAAATACAGTGGTGCCATAATCATTTTGCATTGCTGTTGTGAACACCAAGGACTGCGTGGCTCAGTTGTCATGATACACAGATATCGTCCTGTTACTGAATGTACAGACATTTTCAAACATCGTGTGTTGTGTTTTCTGCAATTCACAGATTTACCACTTCACTGTCATTCATTTCCTAGGTGGTACATGGCACTACCTTTTGACTAGCAGCTGCAGACAGTCCATCGATGTGTCGATGAGCGCAAAGGCTCGTAAAAGGGTGAGATCGGCACATGGCTCTCCATTGAGTGACACCACCTCGTCACCTTCCTGCACTCCTGCCAGAAAGGCACGGCCTCCTTCCTCTACCTGTGGAAAACAAAATCATAGCAAGAGGACAAAAACCTATATCACATACCGGGTCAGTTATCAGCATAGCCCCAAGTGTGAGAATGGTCCTATAACCTTCACACTCAGGCCAGCTATGACAGTGCTGCTATTTACAGGAAGTCAACATAAATCATCTTTAAAATGTTGTCAGTTGCTAGTAAGGTCATAATATAGAAACTTCGCCCCCAGGTCAGTGTCACAAATCCATTTTATCTGGAAAAGCAAGAGGACAAAGTATTTTAGCAGTATTTTTCATCTATAAAAAGGATTAAGAATACATTATTAATTCTCTTTAGAATAATATGAGAAAGGTCTTCTTCTAAGTGGAGCCTAAATACAAGAACTCTATCCGACAAGAGTCAGCCTGCAAATAATAAAACAGAAAATGTGTGTAAATAAACAGTGGTTTATGTCTAACATTAAGCGAAGTGCAATGTTGATGGCCTCTACAGATATAATGAGGCTTCCTAGGAATGCTTAATTGGTTATCTCTTTTGATGTGTATTAAATTCAAACCAGGCAATGGATGACTATGTATGTGCGTAAAGGGTAATATAATTCCCTGTGAAGTCCTACGTGAAGTACATCCTGAGTGAATCAGCTGAAAACACATTTTCTGACTGGATCATTAATATTTGAGAGATATCAAATGAGGATAGGGAAGGTGGGGTAGTGGCCTTTTCAAATTAATTCAACAACATTTGTAAATAACTAAAAGTATATCAACAGGTCACTTAAGAGGCGAGCAACAATTTGTGCAATTCACACTACAATGTACAATCAGTGTCACTGATATTCAAGAGATGTAGGTCTACCTTGTGTTTTAACCGTGGTGCTGCATATTATTGCTGCAGGCCAGCTCTGTGCAGATCCATTTAAAGGGCACCTCTTTACACAGTTAAACTAATGACTGATGGTTTTGTTCAGTTGTAATTGGTTCTTGAGGACTATAAAATGGTTCATTAATAAGAGGATTTAATAAAAAGAAATACCCCATAAATTTTGCACAAAAGGCCACTTATACAGCTAGGAGTATGAATGATTACTTCAGTATACGCTCTCAGGAAATATGTTAAGATGTTTTACAAATACGAAAAATAAACAGCTTTACAAAGAAGGTTTATAATGTAGTGCAACTGCAATAAACTACAATTATGTATTGAGACTGGTAACCACTACAAAATGTATCAATACTAGTTGTGTCAATACTGAGTGTTTGTTTTGGACACCATGACATCTCCACTTTAATTCTTGTTGCATATAATCCTTCTCGCTCTCTTCCCCATGTTTCTTGTCTGTCAACTGTCAAAAAAAGAAAAATGCCATAAAAATAATCTTAAAGTACTGAAGGAGATAAGACTCCACAACTCAATTCATTCACCATAATGAGGTCATGTATCTTAATCTTTGTCTTGGCTGATTCCCCTAGGATTCATTTAAGAATTTACATTTATGATACATCAGAGTCAATATGTTAACCTTTGATGACACTGAACATGAGTAAATGACCATGCTATTCAGCCATCGATCATGTTAATGCTCCTTTGCAACTTTGGCAGCAGTCGCTTTAAGCTGATTTATGTCAGCACACCATCACTAAACAAAAGCAGTCTTCTCGATTTCTGATATTAAAGTTGCTGTTACCCAGAAAACCTTGCTGGCAGGCAGCAGCCACATAAATTGTGGAGCTGCTAAGAGCTCAGAGATCAGGCATTTCAAAACTGTGGCTGTTCATCTCCATGTTTATTTTAACAGCACAACACACAGAAAGTCTGTGTTGCTTTCTTGTGCCTTGCTGGATTTTCATTATAATAGTACATTCATAAAGGTAAAGTGGCAGAAGACAGAAGGAAATGTAGAATGTCACAATACAGTAGAACACATGGGGATGACACACCAAACAGTCCTTCTTCATAATCATTGGCGCAACACATGAAACTTTTCTCCTTTATTAAAGGAAATATCTAAAAATCCTCATGAAATCACGATAAATCATGTTATAATTTTTTTCCAGAAACCCTTTTATTATATAACACCTTATAGCAATTATATTTTACATTTTGGAATTTCACATGAATTGAAATCACCAATTAACTCCTGCAGAATCATCCTCCATGGACATCCATCCAACTTGAGATACTTGCAGTAAAGAAATCTTGCCACTAGATGGCGCTGCGCACACACACACACACACACACACACACACACACACACACACACACACACACACACACACACACACACACACACACACACACACACACACACACACACACATCTTTTACTACAAAAGGAAGAAGGGGAGAATCCCTGCATCAAAGTAAAATAAGGATGGGGAAAGACTATTAAAAACCCATCCTGATGAAACATTCATCATATATATATATATATACACACACTTTTGATTGTCTTTGACTTTTGTTTTATTATTTGTATTTCAAAGGGAGATGCAAAATCAAATTGTACTTGTTTTTGCTTTAATCAAAACATATGTTCCAACATATAAGAATGATGAACCTTACTTGCTTATTTACCACAGGACCACATAGGCCTGAGTCTAACATAAGCAACATCCTAGGCAATAAAATGAGCCTACTTTGCTACATATACAAAAATATTTTATGAGTTACTTTATAGAGCTGGTAAATCTCAGATAAATCCACTCTGAGTTTTTAAGAGTTAACAGTGTGCAAACAGGCCCTATATGGCAGCCTGTGTGCCTGTCTATTGGGACTCCCTCCTCACTACAGGGAGGATGGTTTGTCTGGAACACCACGGCAACCACTCGTGCTCCAAAAAAGGAGGGGAAACATTTGTCGTTGTCTCTCCTTGCAACACAAAAGATACACAGACAGTGAGGCAGAGTTCAAAAGAGGCATATACCGCCTAGTGTCTGAATCCTGTATGTCATACACTGCTTGGAAAAAAAGGTACAGTCTCATGTGCAGGAAAGCATAACAAATAAATGCTTCTCTAGGTGTCAGAAGGGAAGAAAGTAAACAGTGTTGGCCAGTTTTTTCAAACAAAGCGCTTTCCAAAAATACACATTGCCCTGAGCGCCACAATTTACTACTGACAACACGTGGGGGCCACAATTAGACAACATTATATGCATGTGTTATCCTGGGTTGCCCATTTTCAAATTATCTATTTAATAGGCTTAAATACAACAGAAAATCACAGGAAACACAGTACTGCATAATGTGTCCACATAGCTCCTGGCGGTTCCTGCCCTTTGCAGCTTTAAGCAATTATGTTTTTACATTTCAGGAAAATATCTTCCAGCTGCCTTACAGGTAGCCCTCACACCATGTGGGAGGACAGTTACATTTAATGTCTTTATTTACTCATTTATTCCTTTTTGTCTTAAAGGAGAGGTGTGGGAACATTTCAAGGGTTAGAGGGTTTAGTTTTTGTAGTTTAGGATTTCTATCTGCATTCCCTGGGCTAATACAGTTAATATATATACAACTTCAACTACAAAAGATACTAAATTCAATCATTGATCCAAACATACATTCCCTTCACCAGCCAACAATTTCCAACTTACTGCTAACGCGTTGCATGGTATTATGCATATATTGTAAATAATAATAATAATAATAATAATAATAATAATAATAATACATTTTATTTATAAGCGCTTTTCTAAATACTCAAAGACACTTTACATAAAAACATAAAAGCAGCAAAACAACATCAAATAGTAAAACATTAAAAACACATCAGACTAAGCTAAACATTAAAAGCAATTTTAAAAAGATGTGTTTTTGTGAGTGATTTGAATGTTGGAAGGTCGGTACAGCCACGGATGTGTTTGGGTAGGGTGCTTTTACAGCCTTCTGTTCTATTTTTTTATTCTTTAGTTCAGTTTGAGCTAAAATGACTTTGCCCAAATGTCACTATAACCATCACATGGATTTAATATGTTAAAATGTGTTTAAAGATGGATTACAATTGAAATGCCTATTTGGACAAATATACAAACATTATTACTATACATGATCCTTTTTTCACAATCCAATGAGTCCCATTAAACTGGGCCTCACTTTGGGTGGCACTGGCAAAGAGCATTCACAGCCAAGAACACTGCAACTCATAACTATGTCATCAAAATATAAATCTCTAGGAGCGTTGGCCCTAATTTGTTCAGATGACTCGAAATAGAAAAACGGAAAAAACATGCACTGTCATCATCTGAGGTCACTGCTTTCTTCCAGGACTAGAATGTAGATGTTTTGCTGAAAAACCCAATGCCAAAAACTCCAGTGATGGAAGGAGCTGTGAAGCACTTTGTTTACTCCAGGAAAACGACACTGAATGAATGCACTAACTGCATTTTGCTGATTGTTTGGCAGCCTAATAAGGTTCCTATGGTGCACAATTAGGACTGAATCGTCGGCAACAAGAGCCCTCTTTGCACTGAAAAGGCCAAGATAACCCAGGCAAAGAAGACCTCTAATTCAAACTATGACTACAATTAAAAGGGAAGGGGATAACATTTGGATTAGTTCTTATAAGATTCTGAAAAGTCTCAGACTTTAATTAAGATTACTTTGTTTTTGTCATTCAGTGCTCCATAACTGATCTGATGCATGTTGACATTCCACATACCAAGATGGCATACCTTAGTAATTAACAGGCCAAAATGTCTCCTGTGCATGTTGGTAGGATATAAACAATTTATTTTCTGGAATATCTGTTGAGTATTTTTGCCAACACATCCAAAACAAGCATCCCACTATTACCATAGCTCAGATGTTAACTGTTCTATGTTTCTTGGGCAAAGACATGTAAAGTTTTGTATTATGCAGTTTCTGTAGCTTTAAAAATAAAGTGACCTCATCAACTTTGTACTCAGTCCAGGACTCCAAATGAGAAGAAAAATACTGCCCTTCCTTATATGGAAAGAACCTTTTAAGAGTGGATACCCCATGCCCTTACACTGTACTGCCTGTCAGTACACTGAACAATCTCTCTCCCTCAAAAAACAAGACACAGTTTCCAGTACATTCAACAGAAGCTTTAAAAAACACCCACATTTTATCAGACACAGGAGAGCTTCTAGGTTAAGAGTATTTTGTCATGATCTTGGTATTTTTGCTTTTTTTTTTTTTTTTTGTTTTTTTACTTTTAACCGACAGACTTGGTTCACTGTCCTTCCTACAAGAAAAGTTTGGAGGTATGTTTAGAGTTATGCCTTCCAGATGAGGTGGACTAGAACCCCTGTCCTAGAGGCATATTTAGCTACTTCACTGAAATACACTTAAATGCAGTGAATCACAAGTATCTTATGTAACACATGAGAACACTTCCTGTGAAAGTGTTATGTATGTCAAGTAACATTTGACAGTTAATTCAAGAGAAAATTGAAAGTGGAACAGGCAGTAGAGGTAGGAGGCACTCCCCCCATATGGGGAGAAGGACACAGACTTACACAATTGTTTCGCTTTCTAAACCTTGCTGTTGCTGCTAATTTTTGGCATAGCAGTTTGTAATGATTATGTTGGCTCATGCTAGACACAACATTGTGGGGTATTTGTACAAATGATGATGAACAGGCTTCGGGGGTTGCTGTGAATATACGGCAATTAGTTTGTGTAAAGAATTTGGGATTTTGTCTTTTTGTCATTTTGTTCATATATTTTATAACAATTTATGGAAACATCTTCAACAGATAACAGAGTGATAAGGAATAAAACAATTAACGGTTAATTTATGTTTTTATTCTGACATAAGCGACTCACTAAATGCCGTAATAAATGACAAGTGATTTATTTTAGTCTTTAGAATCAACTTACCAGATGTTAATAAGCTGATTTAAAGCCTCAGTGGATGTGCAGCCACTTGCTGAATTACAAGAGACCATTTCATGCCAATAAATGTGGAAATAATCATTACATTCAAATACCTAAAAAACACAATAAGAGTCACACATGTACTTCAGAATTAGTTTGAAACAAGTAAGGAGCCTGTCATCAAAATGATCTATTAATGCACTCAGAGGCTTTCTTCTGGTGAGACTTTGATGTTGCAGGAATGCAGTTTAAAAAAAACATTTACATTTTCACTGCATGGAGGACAAGTTGATGAGGGCTCTGTGGGCTTGAGCACTTGTGAACATGCATCTATACCATATATAGAGCCTCTGCAGCTCTTCAAAGTAAAGGCATCTGGCTTTACCTCTCTCAATGCACATTTACATCACAGCGGTCTCTGCTTCTACGTTAATCTGACATTTTTATTTGAGCATTTTCATGATTAAATGTATGCCTTTAATGAGTGAGTTCATGACAACCAACCTGCAGTGAAACCTCTGAATGTAACCTAATGTATTTGTTATGATCAATACACTTACACAAACCCTCATCAATTGTAAAAGTAGATTACTGTATTGAAAGTATTGAGTGATGTAAATGAATATATTCACTTCAACAGTGTGTGTCAAAAGGACTACTAGTATCATCATAGGGCACCTACTGTTATCTGTGAGGTTTATTACTACACTATCTGGTTAAACAAATATTTTGTAGACAAAGTGGTTATAATTTGCCTGACCTCCTGTCATTTTTGAATGTTCTTTTTAAAGTGATATCTGCATGCTCATATCTTAGGTTGGGCTGACCTTTTCCTTTTTTGTTAGTTTGCATCGATATTCCTGCATAACGCACATACCTTTCACTCTCCAGGATGGTTACTCGTCTGAATAAGTGCTTTTGCTTTCTCGCTGAAGTCTTTGTGAGTGATAACAGATCACACTGCCCTCAGCTTCACACACACGCTCTCTCGCTCTCTCTCTCTTGGCCTTGACCATATAAGGGTCCCGAGGAATCTCGCACCAAAACACAGCCAACGCACACAAAAATGCAGCGACACGCACCGCTGCCGAATAAATTCTCTCCCAGTCCTGCCAGAGTTTGTTCAACATTTTATAAAGTAATTTTTTCACATAATTAGTCGACAAAACTCAATAAAAACTAAAAACCTTTATAGCAAACTGGAGAATTTATAGGATCTCTGCAATAAGATTAATAAAAGGTTCATTAAGCCGTCTGTCTGATAACAACGAAACTCTGGAATAATCCTGTTCTCTCTCAAATTAACACTTTAATATGAAAAAATTCTAAACAGCTAACACAAAGACAGATAGACAGACATACAGATAGATAGATAAATACCTGGGAGACTAAGAAAGGTCTGTAGGTGTCCCCCTCTCCCTCTCGCAGGGTGAATCCCCAGGGTGCACCACCCCGCAGCGTTACGCAGATGTAATCCCCGGTGCCCATGCTGCGCACAGTTCCTCAGCCAAACCTCCACAGCGCGTTCATTGAACTGTCAGCCGGACCAGCAGCACTTTGCAAAAAACCACCTCCAACACACCGCTGTATAATCCCCATCATCTGAGTTCTCCCTGAGTCCAGCCCGCTCAAGAAACGTCACTGCGCACGGACCCGCCTGCAGGCGTTGCATGCAACTCGTGGTTTGTCTTGGAGAGCTCATGGACTTTTTTACGCTCTAACATCCTAATGGAGAACGACTACATGATACTTTTAGTACTATCATCCAATTTAATCAGAAAAGAGTCATACAAGCCTTAAAAAGTCTAAATATCCCGAAGGAGAAATCCTAAATCATGTTAGCCATAGTCTTTAATTTCCTATTATAGATTACCTCAATTAGCCTATATTATATATTCTAATATATATCATATCTTCTTATATATTACCAGTAATTGTGTAATTCCATCTCATTTTTAGGCTATTGCAGCAGATAGGCTGGCATCCTTGTTTGTTATTTACATAATCTGAATGGATTGGCTTTATTATTACTACAGTGTTTGTTTTTATTATGTGACATTACTTTACTGTCAGGGCGGTATGGTTCAACAGTCTGGAGTCCAAATTGCACACATGCAGTCATCACTCTAAGAAGTTTTGTTAATCATTTTCAGACTATTGTATTTAATTTGTTTAGGCAATATTACTGTTCAATTATATATAATGCAGCCTACAGTTCCTCTCACAACAGGATGATCTAATGTCTCAAAGAGTGCAAAATAAGATCATTTATTTTCAGGGACTATACCTCAGTGGTACACAGCCTATATCCCTGTTCATTACACATATGTAGGCATATAGGTTGTGTGGCCATTTAACTTTAAAAGCTATCTGCCTGTAGTAGTACGTTTAAGGACATCTGTTTCATTTCCTTCTCTTGTGCTCATCCATATAGCCTACTACATTCTATTAGGCTATGCAAAAATGTAGTCTCGTTTGGATCTATTTTTATCATAAGAGTGAAAGCTTTTATGCTCAGTGTGCAGATTATGTTGAAAGGCATGCATTGTAAAGACGGCACAGGTCCACATCCCTGTGCTGACGTGTATGGGTCCCCTCTCTTTCACGCATGCGCACAGAGCCAGACAGACTCAGCCCTGTTAAGTTAGCTAAAAGCACATCGACGAAAGCCAGAAGTTAAGCTGTTCACTCTACAACATAAAAGCACAATGTGACGTTTTACAACAAATACTTGGCTGCACAGAGCATCAAATTTGTTTTAATAAGTCGTGAAAATGATGTTTGACAACGGGTATTGTGTTTGCGTCATTTATATCGTATAAGAACGTTTATTCACCATTAACGATTTTATTTTGAATTGTATAACCGGAAACAGTGTATTTTCCTCCGTGTCGACACCCGTGATTTGTCGTCGCGTAGCCAACACAGCGACCGGCGCTTTGGTGGAGTTTGACGTGGCACTCTGCTTCCACTGAGGGCAATACACAGTGAAGAGGACTCTGCCCGGTATTCAGGTAAATACCACTACGATAACATTTACACACGAAGCCAACACTTCTGTCTCATGTAAGTCTTTACTTGACGGTAATTGTGTTTGAATTGAATGCGCTTCTGGTGCAGAGGAAAACTTTGTAGTAATTTCCGCGTAGCTAGCAAGATGTTTCCTATCAATATGTAATCAACAGTGAACGAGCTGCTGTGCTGTCATGTTAGGATACTTTCGATAAGGCGTTCAGCTGTATGTTATAGCCAAAATATTGTACTACAAAGACGAACAACATGTGTGTCCGTCCAGTTGGATGTGGATTTAAGGACGGCAGGGATGCTCAGATCTTTAGCCATCATAACGGTCTTTGACGTGGCAATTCTCGGAAGTGGCAGATACAAGAGCTGAACAATTAACCACGGTTATTTATTTTACTTTAAGCTTCTTCTGTAGGTTTAATGTGTTAAATGGGTTTATATGTGGTAATAAAGGGCTTTCGTTGAGTTGTAAGTACGCAGCTGTTATTTTTGTTGACCCAGTTGTGCCGGAGTTGAACAACTTGAAGCTTTGACACCCTGAAGAAGTCTACAGGCCCATTGCTTTTATAACTTTCATTTACTGCAGTTGAAAGCAAAACTCACTGACAGCCTGTAGGCCACACACTTAAGACAAGTGTAAAGGTGCATTTGACTGTTAAGTGTTTTAAAATGGCCTATATAGATATTCAAATAGCAAAAATGGTGTTTGTTGCAACACTGCATATTAACTCACTGTCACTGGATTGTACTTCTTTCTAACAGCATAACAGAAAGTCATGTTGAAGATACTATTGGCAAACAAGGATAGGCCTTATCTCTCAAGAAGCAATGTCAAAAGTCCATGTGACAGTGTGGATGATTGCATGAGGTCAAATATCAGTTGTTGTTGTTGGTGTGGCTTTGTAAACAGGCTAGATTTACAAAAGAAATGGATTTAGGAGGGTGGACACAAAATAAAGACAAAAAGTACCTACCTTAAGTAAAAAAAATCTTAATTATAAGATTTGACTGTCAGAATTAAGTACATGTATACATCGTGCTAACTTTACATTTTCACTCTTTCAACTTAACAGGTTGTAAAGACGTATTCATCTTGGCATGAGAATACAGTAACAGTCATCCCATCAACATGAGTCAACAGGGTTATGTTGCTGCACCCCCGTACTCCCAGGCCCAGCCAGGGATGGGGGGCTACCAAGGTGGATTTGGAACTGGTCCTGCACAGCCCCTGTACGGGCACTATGGGGGACCGCCTCAGGCATTTTCTGCTCCACCAACAGGTAAAATACTCTTGTGATTGTTTCTCAAATAACATGATTGTTAGGCTTTCATTTTGCAAGTTCAATCTTGCCACCTAGCAAGATCAACTTATTCATTCTCGAATTATATCAATTCTTTCTTTCCATAACAATAACAGAAGTTCACCATCCAGAAATTAAGTTTGCTGTTTTGGGCCGAAAGGAATATTTTCAATAATCTGCTGTTATTGTCTATTATATTGTACATGTCTTAGTTTGTCATCATGTTTTATCTGTCATCGCATCGTGTCTGGCCTTTAATAATTCATGTGCTATACTGCTGTGATTGCATGCGTGTTATGTACCGGCAGTACAAGCAAAGATAAAGTAACTTTATTGGTTTTTATTGTAAATGTCACAGCATACCGAAGCCAACTCCGTATGAGTGCAAACACATTTGTAAAGTCCCTAAACTCTCAGTAGAACTACTGACACACTTAGGTCTTTAGAAAAGAAAGTCAAGACAACATCAAAGAAACTGTAATGCTTTCTCGACAACAACATGGAGATCCACTGCACCCACAGTTGACAGTGGTCAGCATTGGAACCAGGTTTCTGTTTGGATCAACCATTTCAGGCAAACTACACACTTGTAGTGTAGCATTCCTTTAAGAGTCATGTTTAGATGCTTTGACAAGCCTCGCTTTGTCTGAATATACCACATCAAAAGATCTAGAATGATACAGTGAAAACCATAAATATACGCTAAACATCATGTCTGTTACTCACTGCAGGTATGATGAAATCACCGGTCTCCTCTGCTGTCGGTATGCCTCCACCTCCAGTGTCCAGTCAATACAATCCAAATGTCCAGCAGAATGGCGCACACCCACAAAGGTAACAATCTTCACTAAACAGCAACTGTTTGGCACGGCTTATTGTATCTCTGTAATCAACATAAGGATATCATGAATGTGCAAGTATTGCAGTACACGAAACAAAGAAGTCTGCAGACAATGAGCCATAGAAGGCCAGGCCACTATTACTTTTTTCTTATTTTTAAGTAAAATACATATTTCAATCAGCAAGGGTTAGACACAACAGATCTTCACGTATTAAGCACATCATGAGACCACACTGTATGTGCTGTATATTAATAACAGTTCTTGCTTATATCCCTAAGATATCCTGCTCCACCAGCCGCTTCTGCTGCTTATGGACAACCTCTACAGGCCCCATACAACAGCATGGGCTCTGCTGCCCCGCCTCCAGCGCAGCAGCTCACCAATCAGATGGGTGCTATGAACTTGGGCAACTATGGTAAGTTTGCAATTTACTCATTCATACTCGTAACAGTTCATAGCAGCCAAATAATTGGTTTAATTGATTATAGTATTTTAGTAAAAGGGATGAGACAGGGATTACAAAAAGTACAGCCTAAACGTAGTCACTAGATTATATTTCTTAATTTAATTTCTTAATTGTCCAGCCTCAGGTCCCATGCAGAGCCCTCCTCCTCCTCCAACAAACTCTGTAGCCCAGCAGCCTTTCCAAATATCCCCTCCTCCAGCAATGGGCCAGCCGCAGATGCCTCCAGGGCTGCAGTCACCCCACATGTCCCCCCAGATGTCTCCACCACAGTCACCCCCAGCAACCATGCCAATGGCAGGCCCTCCAATGGCAGGCTCTCAGATGGCAGGCCCTCCAATGGCAGGCTCTCAGATGGCAGGCCCTCCAATGGCAGGCTCTCAGATGGCAGGCCCTCCAATGGCAGGCATGGGAAGACCCTTTCCGGGGCCACCTCCAGGCCCTGGAGGATTCCAGCAGCTTGGTCCTGGAGCTGCTGGTCCACCAGGATACCCACAGCAAGGAGGTAACTGTGACACTGTAACCAGAAAAAAGCCAGTCAAAAGAAGTATTATGAGAGGGATATTACAGCTTTTTTACTCACTGGAATTGCCACTGATACATGGTCATTAGCTTATGAATTCATTACAGCAAATATTTAAAAAATATTTTAAACCACAACACAGTAAAACGTTTAACCATACACAGGACAAATGTTTCATCTTTTTATGTAGTGTGTCTTTGATGCTTGATTCTCCTCTGAGGTTGCTCTGTGTTAGAGAAAATAATTGTTTGTTGAAGTTCTGTAAGTTCTGTAAAACAGAAGAGTCTGGCAAGAGAATCAGTATTTATCCTTTTTATAAACATGAAAAAACAACATGTTGTCATTGCTAGTATTGGAGCAGTTTGATCAGGACTTATTCTACAGCTTACAATTAGTCAACAATGTGTGTGTGCTTTACACTGTAGCAAATAAGTGCCATTTAATAGCCAGTATA